TAGCAAACCCATGTGGAGGAAGTGGTTTGGATTAGGAATGGGGCAGGAGGACAACCAAGGCCTGAAATGTGTTATTAACAAGCATTTAGAGCACTGAGCTGTCAGGGAGAATAAGAACTCAGAATCTGGAGTTGTCTTGCCTCCTGTGTGCCAGCTGGCCGTGCTATGGTCAGGCAGCTTTATTCCCTTTTGGCATTTATGGACTCTCAAGGCCTGTGAACTTCGCAGATATGGCACACTAAGAGACACTCAGGACTAAAGACAGAAGCCAGATCTTCTGATCCCTTTAATTACAGAGTCATAATGGTGAAGAGGATGGTGACATCCAAGGACGACCACAGGGCCTCTCACCACTGGTGAGAACCAGATTCCTTCCCCTGGTTCTGTAGCTCCCAGCAGAGTTTTGGAAGCTGATTAAAGAGAAAATCAGTAATAATAGGTAATTAGAAACCTTATAAAGAGGAAAAATGCTCTCATCAAATTTACCAAAGCACCTGCATGGCTGGAAGTGGGGAAGGCATTGGAAACCTCGCCGACAGCAAGGGCCACTTATGCCAGCCGTTGGCCTAGAGGCTGGGGCAAGTGTGCAGATGGACTGGAGCTGGTTCCCAGGGGTGGAGCGGGGAGACTGTTTAGAAGCGTATTTCCCAGTCAGCAGCCAGTGGGTAAAAGGCTAAGGAAAGCCTTTTACCAGCCCCAAGAGAACCTCAGCTGGTGAAACCAGTGGCACAATGACCAAAGGCGACTGAGGGGGAGACTGAGAGACACACACACAAAAGAGACAGGACCCACCACCAAGAAAGGCTGAGTTGAGTGGGTTTCTCCACTGGCCATCCACTTGGCTATTCAGAATACCCCAGGAGGGTAGTTGGGAGGAGTTCAGCAAAGTCTTGGGTCCAGATAATCCATGCAGTTAGCTGCTTTCAGGTCCCTTTCCTCTTGGGGTCCCTTGGAACCATCCGTGTCCATCTTGGGAGGGGTGGTGGGAGGTAACTGAATGACCTCAGGTGGCTGAGTGTAGGTTTAGCCCCCAGGTGACCTGCTTGGACTTCAACAGAGGCGTGAGGGGCTCTAAGTGACAGAGGTGAGGTGGGGTGGGAAGGGGTGCTCCCCGCTGTGGGTAATCATCCAAGAGATTCATGCTGCTTTGGGGGCCGAGCTTCATTTGCTGGTTCCTTTTCCTATCTTGTTTACTGTTTTCTCTTTGATGCTCTTTCATTTCTCTACTCAGTAAACCATACTGCCCAGGGTTATGGCCAGGGTTGTCCCAGGTGAAGCAGGACACCCTGAGTGAAGACTGAGACACAGCCTTCTCTGTCAACAAGGTCACATTCCAGCTGGTAATGGACAGTCATAAATGGAGTGAGTGTTTATGCTCAGTGGGGGCGAGCAGGGGGGGTGGTTTGGGAGCCCAGAGATGGGGAAGGGTTGAGGCCAGGGAGGTCTCCCAAAGGAGGGGGGAATTGGTGCTGGTTTGTGCTAGAGTTGCCAGATAAAATACAGAACGGCTTGTATTTAATGCGATATTTGTGACATACTTATACTTAAACAATTATTTGTTGTTTATCTGAAATTCAGATTTAACTGAGCATCCTGTGTTTTCATTTGCTAAACCTGGCAATCCTAGTTCCTGATGAATATACAGGAGTTAGCTGAGTAAACAGAGGGACAGGAGGAAAGGGCATCCTGTAGAGGGAACAGCATGTGCAAAGACCTGGTGGTGACCATGCTTCACTTAAGGAACTGAACATTGTCCAGTGGCTGCAGCATGGAGTCCAAGGGGAAAGGGAGGGGGCAGAGAGAAGGCACTGAACTGTCACCTGGTTGTTGAAGATGTGCTAGGTGCCAGGCACGTTGTGAAGATCTAGGGTACTGTTGTGAGCCAGACAGACACAGCTTCTGCTCTCAGGGAGCCCACGGTTCAGCTGAGCAGCAGTGAGGGGAGGAGGGAAGGACAGGCACTGTGGAAGTTATAGCTGGGGGACATCAGCCTGGCTGGGAGGTCAGGGAAGGTCAGAAGGGCCTCTCTGACAACATGCTGAAGGACGAGGAGACAGGCTTGCCCCGGGCTGGGGGAAGCGTGTTTTAGGCTAAGGGAACAGCATAACGGAGGCCCTGAAGTGAAAAAATGTGCAGCGGGTCCCGGATGCCAAAATGTGGCAGAGGGGCTGGGGTCCTGAAAGCGAGAAGAGGCGCAGAGGAGGGCGCTGGACAAGTGGGCAGGGGCCAGATCCTGAAGGCAGTGGGAGCCACTGAAGGGTTTAAAGCACGGAGGGTGACACAACCAGCTCTGTGTTCTCTAAGGTGACTCACGGTGGAGAGAAGAGGACGGATGGGTAGTGTGGCAGCAGAGAGAATGAGGGAGGCCAGGAGCGGCTACTGCAGATGCCCAGGATGGACAGTTTGGTGGCTTGGCCCGGCGCGATGGTGGTGGAGATGGAGAGAGAGGGAAGGAGAGATGGAGCCAGGCTGCACTGAGGAGGAAGACTTGGCAGGGCTGGGTGGTCTGGCACCGGGACGTGAGGGGGTGGGAGTAGCAGGCATGACTCAAAACTTCTGGTTTGGACAGATGGGAGGATGGTGGCACCACTTGCTGAGCTGAGCTGGGGACTTGGGAGGCTTGGGGGTGGTGAGGCGAGAGGGTTCAGGTTTGCACATGTTGAAGGTGAGGAAGCTGGTGGTGGACCACGGGGGACAGACTGTGAACGAGGAGAAACCCGAGGGGAGACAAGCAGAGCTGTGTTCAAATCTCTCTTCTCAGACTTGGCTGTGTGGCCTTGATCACCGACTTCACCTCTCCTTGCCTTCGTTTTCTCACCTGTATTCATGGGATGATGTGGGTCGTCTTCATAGTTGTGAGGGTGTGGTGGGAAGCCTCCAAGGTCACCCCTAATGACCCCGCCTCCTGGTATTCAGGTCCTTGTGTGGTACCCTCCCACACTGCAATAGGGTTGGTCTGTGAGACCAAGAGACTATGGGTATGTCACTTTCAAGGCTGGGTTGTAAAAGACATTGTGGCTTCTCTGTTAGGTTACTTGCTTTGGGGGACGCCAGCTACCAGGTTGTCAGGAGAGGCTCATGTGAAGAGGAGCTACTGCATTCTGCGAACAACTACATGAGTGAGCTTGAAGCAAATGTTCCTGCCCCAGCCAAGCCTTCAGCTGACTGCAGCCCCAGCTGACATCTAGACTGCAAGATCCGCTACCTACCTAATCTGCTTCCAGAGTCTTGACCTTCAGAAACTGAGATAAGAAACGTTTGTTGGGCTTCCCTGGTGGTGCAGTGGTTGAGAGTCCGCCTGCCGGTGCTGGGGACACGGGTTCGTGCCCCGGTCCGGGAAGATCCCACATGCTGCGGAGCGGCTGGGCCTGTGAGCCATGGCCGCTGAGCCTGTGCGTCCGGAGCCTGTGCTCCACAACGGGAGAGGCCACAACAGTGAGAGGCCTGTGTACCGCAAAAAAAAAAAAAAAAAAAGAGAAACGTTTGTTGGTGGACTTCCCTGGTGGCGCAGTGGTTAAGAATCTGCCTGCCAATGCAGGGGACACGGGTTCGATCCCTGGTCCGGGAAGATCCCACATGTCACGGAGCAACTAAGCCCGTGTGCCACAACTACTGAGCCTGAGTGCCACAACTACTGAAGCCCGTGTGCCTAGAGCCCGTGCTCCACAACGAGAAGCCACCACAATGAGAAGCCTGAGCACTTAACAAAGAGTAGCCTCTGCTCGCCACAACTAGAGAAAGCCCGCGTGCAGCCAAAAAAATAAAACAAAAACAAAAAACAAAAAAAAGAAACGTTTGTTGGGAATTCCCTGGCGGTCCAGTGGTTAGGACTTGGCACTTCCACTGCCTGGGACTGGGTTCAATCCCTTGTCGGGGAACTAAGATCCTGCAAGCTGCGTGGTGCAGCCAAAAAAGAAAGAAAGGTTTGTTGTTTTAAGCCCCTAAATTTTGGGACAACTTATGATGCAGCAATAGAGGACTGATCCAGAGGATAAAAGCACTTAGCATAGCGCCTGGCACATAGTAGGGGCTTTAGGAAATGCAGCATCTGTAGGTCTGGAGTTATGGATTTGGGAATCTTTTGGGAATCTTTGGGCTTAGAGACAAGAATGGAATCCACAGAGGTGACTGAGCCAGTCCACAGGGAGGAGTACATAGAGAAGAGAGTATGGCCTTGGCCAGAAACCTGGGCTTAAGGAGTGGGTAAAGCAAGAGGAGGAGCATCTCTATGAGCCTAAGAGGAAGGAGGAAAACTAGAACAGGGCTCGGGGAAGAGGTTGTCCCTAGGAGAGTGTGGTCAGTGACATCACTGCAGGGAGGCCTGAGAGGAGATCTGAGGAGTGTCTTTTGGATTCAGCAACAATGAGTTTTCTGGTGGCCCCACGAGAGCTGTGCAGGTGGAGAAGTGGGCCCTAAGGTCAGATTGAAAGCTGTGGGTCGGTATATAAGGGTAAACACTTTCCACCCCTAAGCCCCAAACCAAGATGGTTTACAGGAGAATCCTATAGAAAATCCAAACCACAGAAAAACCCCAATCTTTTTTTTTGCGGTACGCGGGCCTCTCACTGTTGTGGTCTCTCCCGTTGCGGAGCACAGGCTCCGGACGTGCAGGCTCAGCGGCCATGGCTTACGGGCCCAGCTGCTCCGGGGTATGTGGGATCTTCCCGGACCGGGGCACGAACCCGTGTCCCCTGCATCGGCAGGCGTACTCTCAACCACTGCCCCACCAGGGAAGCCCAAAAAACCCCAGTCTTATAGAAGCTGCTCTAGTGAGTAGACACTGATTCCTTAATTTATTTTTTAAAATTATTTATTTATTTATTTGGCTGCCTCGGTCTTAGTTGCGGCACACAGGATCTTTGTTGCAGTATGTGGATCTTTCATTGTGGCACGCGGGCTCTAGAGCGCTCGGGCTCAGTAGTTGTGGTACATGGGCTTAGCTGCCCTGCAGCATGTGGGATCTTAGTTCCCCAACCAGGGATTGAACCCCACGTCCCCTGCATTGGAAGGCGAATTCTTAACCACTGGATCACCAGGGAAGTCCCCCCTTAACTTATTTTATGAGGCTCATGTAACTTTGATAGCAAAATCAGACAAAGAGAGAATAAGATAGGAAAATAGTAGGCATATCTCATTCATAGATGTGGACACAAAAACTCTAAATTATTAGCAAATGAAATCCAGCACTATATTGGAAAAAAAAGCACATCATCAAGGAATGCATGGAGAGTTTAATATAGTAAAATCCATGGTGTAATTAATTACATTGGGGGGAAAATTTCACATTTGATAAAATTCAACACCCATTCATAATAAAGCAGAATGGTACATCCTTACGTTGATACAGGGTATCTACCAAAAATCTACAACAAACACCATATTTAATGGTGCCATATTAGAAGCAGTCAAGAACAAGATAGAAATGTCACTATCATCATTGTTACTCAACATTGTGCTGGAGATTTTAGTCAGTGCAGTAAAATAAGGAAAAGGAAATAAAGACTGGACAGGAAGATACCAAATGTTATTACCTACAGACTCTATAAATACTTACATAGAAAATTCAAGAAAGCCTGTAAACTTCCTAGAACTAAATTAGAACTAAAAAAGTTTGCTGGGTATAAGATTATTATATAATACGAACTACATTTCAATAACCATCAGTAGCTTATAAAATACAAATTTGAAAATATAATTTACAATAGTATTAAAAACTTTGAGATGTGTAGGAATTGTTCTGAGAAAACCACTGACAAAATTAATTCCTCTCAGTTTTTAGTTGAGGAAATAGAAGCCCCGAGAGGAGAAATGACCCCTCCAAGGACACCAGTAAGCCAGGGGCAATTTTGGATTTTAAGTGGCACCAAATCCTGGAGATCTGTGTTGGGTAATTTCAGCATTACCTTTCTTTTGTAAAAAATAAAACTCGTATTTTTCTGATTATAAATTCAGCATCCATGCATTCTAGAAAATATAGAAAATTCAGAAGAACATTTGTAAGTAGTTAAGTCACTAATATTCCCATCCTACTCCCTAGAACCAGGATCAACGATTTCGTGTATTTCCTTCAAAATTTTTGCCTGTGTATATTTACATTTTTAAAAATAAAATTAGGATTATACCATGTATACCATTTTGTGCACTGCTTATTTTCACACACATTTCCCTGTATCCTCACCTAGTCTTTTTGAATATGATAATGTAGCACTCAGTTATGTTGGTGAAGCATATGCCATTTATTTAACCTGTTGAGTTTTCAGAGAAAAACCAAGTAGCAGATATGACTGTGATGATCCTGCAGATAAAAGTTAAACCCCAGAGGCAGCTCACGCAATCGCAGCCATGAAGCGCAGGTGAGTTTCCAAGGCAAGTGGTTATCCTGCTGAAGGGGAAATGGCAAAAACCAACATCACATACCTGGTCCCACCTGGAAAGGGATGGAGATCTGATTAGCAGGAAGTGAATGGGATTTGGAAAGACGCTATGCTTGGAGACCAATTAGCTCTGAGACTTTAGGTAATTCCCCACTCTTTGCAGTCTTGGCTTCCTTCGTGGCGGTAGCGGCGCCAGCTTCATCTAGGGCCGGCTCCTTCAGGCCTCAGAGCCTTTGCACGAGTCGTTTCCTCTGCTGAAGTCACTCTGCCCTTCTCCCCACCTGGCTGCCTTTCACTACTCCGCTGACAAGGCTGGAGAGGTGACCTTACTACCTATCCCACAGAAGGCAATGTCGGGAGGTGCTCTGGCCACAGTCCTAGAGTCCAGATCTTCCATAGCCACTGTATCTGAAACAGAGGTCCCCTCCCCTTATTCTCCAACTGATTCATGTACCTCCCAACATTTATAATTATAACTTGTCATTATTTTGGCTACTGGCTGTTTCCTTGGGTCTTTTCTGTTTTCTCCTCTCAGGATGCCCCGCCCTCTTGGTGGCCGCTTTACTCTCCAGGCCTGGAACATGGGAGTTCTCGGGGCCCCATGAGAGTTCGTGAAATGACAAGAGAAACAACTGTGGGGACCCTAGGCCTGAGAACTTAGCGAAAACTGACGGGGTCTGGGCTGATCCCAATCTACAGGCGGAGGCGGGACGTCGGGTGGATTCTGGGCGGAGCGCGGGGGAATCTGGGCGGAGCCTCAGGGGCTCGATTGGGGCGTCGGGGCGGGGCTTCGGGGCTGCTGCGGAGTCAGTCTGACCTAGGCGCCCAGTCTACGCCTGATTGAGTTGTTCTGGCCGCTCGGCCCTCCGGCCACCATCCCACGCCGCCGTTAGGGGGCGTCTGCGCTCGTGGCGCCGCGTCTCGGCTGATAAGGCGCCGCCCGCGCCGGGCGGCAGGAGCCGCAACTCCGGGCGCGGGCTCAGTCGTCCCTTCTGCCGCCGCCGCCGCCGCCGCCGCCGCCGCCGCCGCCACTGCCGCCGCCGCCGGGCGCGGGCTCACTCGTCCACGCGTTCTCGTTCTCCGGCCGCCGGCGTCTCCCGGCCCGGCTACCACCGCTGCTGCAGCGCAGTGAGTAGTAGGGGCGGGCCCACGGCTTGGGGGCCCGGCTCGGGAGGGCCGGGCACTAGCAGAAACCCGCGCGGAGTAGCCCGGGGAGCGGGGTTGAGGGGAATCCGGGCGGCGGCGGGGCCGCACTGAAGGGACCGTGGGGAGCCCGGGCGGCGCGCTCCGGGGCTGGCACGAGCTCGCGGCGGGCTGGCTGCGGCCGGGGGCCGGCCTTGGGCGGAGGTTCCGGGCCCCGCCCGGGTGTGGGGGGACGTGCGGGGACGTGCGGGTTCGGCGGACCCGGGTTCCAGGCTCGGGTGCGTGCCACCCTCCCGGCCCCGAGAGTCTCCCGTCCCACGCCGGGGCCGGATCGGGGCGGGGGACTCCGCCTGCGGGCAACAGCGAAGCCCTGCCCGGGTGGGAGTACCTCGAGGTTTGCTCGAAAATGATTTGTTTGGGGTGGTGCTTATTGGCCACCGTTTGCCTTAATTTAAAGCCTACGGCAGGGCTTCTGAGCCCAGCCTTAGGAGATTTTCCGCCCCAAAGAGATTGACTGCAGCTGAGTTCTTTATGCTCAGATTTGTGTGTGTCAGGGCATTTTTAATGCTGGATGTCAGAGGTGATAAATAGCCGTGGAAAGGGGGAGCCCCTGAAGCACCTGCCGGGCTGTCAGTGGTGGAGGCTGTGTCTGGGGAGTGGGACTCGAGAAATGAAACGGATCCTGTTTGGATATTCTGCTGAAGTTATCATGTTTCTGCAAGTATACCAGTTCTAGAACAAGTTGGTAATTCCAATTTTAGGGCTTTGTGATAGAAGAGGTTTGAGTGGTCAAGAGACCCGAGGTGACCTGGTTTGGCTAAGAATGTTTGGGGTAGCCTAAGTGTCCCTTACCCTTTCCCCTTGGCATGTTCATTTTCTTGCCGTCACAAATGCCTAGGTACATGAGTGATCCCAAGATAGGAAAGAAGGGAGGGGCCAGCATTTAGCACAGGACTGAGCCCAAGATTGAGATGTTTTCAAATGAACAGATGTGTAGCTAGGAAAAGGAAAATCTTTTTACCTGCATGGTTGGCAGGCTGAGAGAACTTGCCCTTTGGCTGAGAACTATCAGGCCATACTAATACTTCATTTTGTTTAACACCATAGATATTAAGGATTGATGGTCAGGGACCGCCATAGATGCCATTTCTAAGGTTTGTGGGATTTGAATTTTCATAAATCATATTTTAAAGCATTACTGCATAAAGGAATTCTAGCATTCTATGAATCCCTCAGTGTTTCTTGGATTTTGATATTTGGAGTCTGTTTAAAATGGAATACACGTATTTATTTGGATTTGGTTTTACCTTGGAGATAATCCTGAGTCATGCTTTAGAGAAGTTCCTTCTGTGATGAAGAGCTCAGCTGTCTGGTGGTCTCTGTGGAAGCCAGATGCTTCCCTTTACCTGTAGGTCTCCCTTCTGGAGCTCGGGGGAAAGGAGGATGGTGTAGGGGAGACTGGAAGTAGATTAAGAGGCCTTCTCTTTATGTGTGCCTTGTCTCCATGCCCATGCTCTAAATTACTTGTGTTCACACTGTCAAGTTTCTCAATTTACCACAGAAATTTTATTTATGCTACTGCCACTAGTATTTTCACATTTGTTTGATACTTGTCAGTTTACCAGTGTTTTTTTTTAAAAAATAAATTTATTTATTTTGGCTGTGTTGGGTCTTTGTTGCTGTGCGCAGGCTTTCTCTAGTTGTGGCGAGCGGGGGCTACTCTTCCTTGTGGTGCGCAGGCTTCTCATTGCGGTGGCTTCTCTTGTTGTGGAGCACAGGCTCTAGGCGCACGGGCTTCAGTAGTTGTGGCACATGGGCTCAGTAGTTGTGGCTCATGGGCTCTAGAGCACAGGCTCAGTAGTTGCGGCGCACGGGCTTAGTTCTCTGCAGCATGTGGGATCTTCCCGGACCAGGTCTCAAACCCGTGTCCCCTGCAGTGGCAGGTGGATTCTTAACCACTGCGCCACCAGGGAAGTCCTACCAATGGTTTTTGATTCATGACCTCATTTTCTTCTCTGCAAGAAGCAGCTGGGCATAAGAGTGATTTACTCAGTCTCATAATTAGTAATGGAGTCGACTTGGGATACAGATCCTCACCGGTGACCAGTTCTCTTTCTTCTGCGTTGGCCTGCCTGTGACTTCAGAATTCTAGTCCGGATCTTTTACCCTGTAGGCCAGTTGTCGCCTTTGTGTTGTGCCCAAGTGGTATCGTTACTTTTGGGAAGGTGCCGTTATTCCGTTTTATTTTACAGAAACTGAGGATAAGAGGAATTTTATGGTTTTGTGACTGTTTGTGGCAGCTCTTTAGTACTAAAGTCACATTTCAACGTAGAGCGCCTTTCTTCTAGACCACAAAAGGATTAGTTTTCGGACAAAACAATCCATTTCTGCAGTGGTTATGGCTGGGATAAACCTAACACCATAATCACATTCCCCTTGTGCGCCTGGCTACCTATGCCACCTTGTACGTGAATGTTAACCCAAAAGACTCCTTTAGATGTCGCTGAACTAGTTACTATAAAAAGTATTTCACTTTCAAACTCCCACATTTCAAGAACAGAGAAATTCAGCGCAAAGGTAACTCAGAGGGTATGTATAGATGGAATTTATTGAGTCTTCTTTTCTGAAAGCCAGACACAAAGATTTCAGTAGGAAGGTGTTTTAAAAGGGCTACCTGGAAACTTTGGGAAGGCAGTAGTTATACATTTTTATTATTTATTCAAGTTTGGAGGTGTGTATTGCAGTGTATAGGTTATTATGTAGGAGCAGGACTTTTAGCCGGGAGAATTCTTAGTCTGTAGCAGAAATGATAAACCCAGAATATTTGTGTTAAATTAGTTCATCATAACCATGAAGCCTGTAATTGAGTTCTGCAGTGGTGAGGAGAATGACTTTCAGGTGTTCTTATGCTACTGTTTAAGTCATTAACTTGTTGAATTGTGTAGTTTTCACATTTGCTACTATGGAAAATTTTTAGCGATTTCTTTTAAGACTTTTATAAATTCTTGAGTGTGTGTTTTCCTTAACGTAATTTTCTGCTAACGTTACACTGTCAGACTTTGTACATTAGTCATAATTTTCAGTACTGCTTTACATTCTTTGGGAACGGTCAGCTGGTTGTTTCCACATGTATTTTATTTGCGCCAAAGGTCAGCTCTTTTCAGGTGAACTGATTTTATAGGGTCAGAAGTCTTTCTTTGAACTTTACAATTGTTTGTGCTTGGCTGCATTCACTGTTGTTTAAAATGATTGTTAGAAAGGAAAGTCACTTTAAAGGAAATTTTTTTTCATTGTTACCTTCATAATCTCCATTCCTGGACAGTTTTGTGATTTTTCTTTGTGTTCATCAAGTAAAACAGGCCCATTTAATGCCCATTTCAAGATCTTCCTTCTGCTGCCTGTCTTGTGGTCCTTTAATTTCTCATTAAGCCCTCCACTGGAGAGTGCCAGAAGGGAGAGAAGATGAAAAGCAAATGAATCATTTTCTAACTGTTAGCAGCTCTGGAAGATGACTTGGAAATTGAAGCTATTTCGGAAATTCTTTTGCTTTCATTCATCTGCATTGTCTCTGAGACGGTCCTAACAGTCATCAATTCAGAGGTTGATTATCCAGCTCTTGGTTGACCAGGAGTCTCTGCCTGTTTTTGGTTTGTTTCTTGCTGTATCTGAGCATCTTCACAGAGGATGTTTAGAAGTAAGGTGCAGAGATAAAATTTAAACTAATCAATACTATTTTTCCCCTTAGAGCTCTTTAGTGAATGTTTTGATTTGGGGGGATAGTTTAATAGTTGTTATTGGAAGTGACTAATAGTAACTTCATTTTAATTTGATGTATCTTACACACAAATGAAGGGAGGCTTTTGGGTACTTTTTAAGAAACATGGGCTTATATAGATTCCCATAATTGCTTTTCTGAATTATTAAGTTTGATGTTTTATTACATCTTTGTACTGGAACAGAACCTTGGCTTTTGCTGTGGAACAGGTTCGGGGCATCATCTAATTTTGTGTGTGTGTGTGTGTTTGCTCAAAAAGTTATCTTGTTTTGATTTAGCAGTAAAAAAGAAAAAAAAGGATTAATAGTGGACAGTCCTTGCATAACAGCTGTAACTTTGATGATGTCTGTTTTTTTACATGTCTTTGGTCTCCCATTTCTTACCATTCGGATATTCATGGAGTGGAGTTCTTTACTTCACTTAAGACAGAGGACAGGGCTTCCCTGGTGGTGCAGTGGTTAAGACTCCGCTTGCCAATGCAGGGTACATGGGTTCGAGCTGTGGTCCGGGAAGATCCCACATGCTGCGGAACGGTTAAGCCCGAGCACCACAACTACTGAGCCTGAGCTCGAGAGCCCGCAAGCCACAACTACTGAGCCCGCGTGCCACAGCTACTGAAGCCCGCGTGCCTAGAGTCCGTGCTCCGCAACAGGAGAAGCCACTGCAGTGAGAAGCCCGCGCACCACAACGAAGAGTAGCCCCCATTCGCCGCAACTAGAGAGAAAGCCCACGCACAGCAATGAAAACCCAATGCAGACAAAAATAAAATAAATAAGTTAAAAAAAAAAAGAAAAGACAGTGTATAGCAGCCTTCAATTACACTAGTGAGTAGGTTCTTGCTAGTTTGCTTCAGGGGAATTTTTACAAACCCATTGTGATTGCTCACTTTGAGTTACTGTTACTGTTACTGTTTACTGTTAAATAATAAACCCCTACTAGGTGGATAGGGTTAATAGATGGCTGAAGGGGTGTTTTAAGTTAATCCTTTCGATTTCTCATTTCTTGGATTCTGTTCTTTCAATTTCTATCCAAGGAGGGGTTTTATGGAAAGATCTGGACTAGGAGTCGGGAAACCCAAGCTCTTGTTCAGTTACTTTCTAGCTGTGGGGACTTGAGCAAGTCTCTTAATCTGCCGGTTCTCTCTTTTGCATCTCTAAAAGGGGGATAGTTATTCACACTCTGCTACTGTATCAGGAATGTTGGGGGGACACTCCCCCCTCCCCGCCCCCACCCATTACTTAAATTGTTTCTTTATTCAAGAATCCCTTTTCAGGTTGTGCTAATATGCCTGCAGAGTTCCACTGAGTAAGCTCTTCCCGGAAGTCCTCCATTTTCACATTTGGAATGGTTCTTGGTCTTCCTTTGCTCAGGTCTCTGCCAGTCCATCTATTATATAGTACTTTTTGTTTGTTTGTTTGTTTTCATTTTTGGCTGTGTTGGGTCTTCGTTGCTGCACGCGCACTTTCTCTAGTTGAGGCAAGCAGGGGCTACTCTTCGTGGCGGTACGCGGGCTTCTCATTGCGGTGGCTTCTCCTGTCGCGGAGCACAGGCTCAGTAGTTGTGGCACACGGGCTTAGCTGCTCTGAGGCATGTGGGATCTTCCCGGACTAGGTCTCGAACCCATGTCCCCTGCATCGGCAGGTGGATTCTTAACCACTGCACCACCAGGGAAGCCCTTATGTAGTACTTTTGAATTTTATTCTGTCCTTCAGTTGCTGCTTGTTGCCTTTCTTCATAGATTGAAAGCTCCACGAGGGCAAGGACCATACCTTTCCTCGCTCTACCCTGCAGTAAATGTCGGTTGACTGAATTATTTTTGAGGTTGTCAGTAATGAATACTTCAGGTGATGGGAAAATGCCAAAGATGGGCATCTTACCAGAACTTTGGGATGACTGGCCTTTTAAATCGCTCAGTTGCTGATCTACTGATCTGTCTGTTGCATCAGTAACTGAATCAGGTGCTCGTAATACAAATTGGTAAAACGTATTTCTTGGTTCTGTTACTTCAAATAGTGTTTATGAAGCAAGTCAGAGGAATGAAAGGTTGTCACAACAGCCCTGAATTTGTTCCATTTCTCACCCTATAGCATGTGGAGACCTATCTATATCCAACTGCTGAGTGTGGAGAATAAAAACTGACCCCACGTTGTCTGGTCCACATTTTAGCTTGTTTGCTTTGAAGAATTTGCAAGGTAGAGAAATAGATGCTTCAGGCTCTGATTTCAGCCCCTGCTGTGCTATGCAAATGTTCCCTACATGCCTGAGTGACCTTTTGAGAAAGAGCCTTTGTGATCTTCTGTAGCCAGGGCCTGTTCTGGGAATTAGTGTGCCAGATTCCTCTAAAAGTGGGAAAAGTGAATCTGTGCAAAGACCACGTTAAGGAAAAAAAAAAAAAAAACAAAGCAACCGAAACAGCGCTTTTCCTGGATAAATACGGATAACTCCATGTTTCTTACTGTCTTTTGCCAAAGCTTTTGAAATTTGCTCAGGAGTTTGCTTTGCCGGGTGATTTGGGGAAATGATGTGTGTGAGGGAGAACTGACTAAAGCAGTTCAGTAACTGGGAAACTGTTTAAGTGCTTTTGAATTGTAGATAAAAATAAATTCAAACTGGCATCTTCAGTATCTGGGTGTTTATCAGTGTCTTCAGGCCGGCTCTCCATAAGCGCCGGGGGACTGCCTCTCAGATGTGTAAGGTTCTTTTTGCCCCCAATTGTGCTTTAATGGTTTGGCATTTAACTGTTTTCTATTTGTTTTGATTATTGTACAAAATGAAATGTATCATTATTAAAAATATAATTAGTTTTTCTATTTTACAAAAGAGCTACCATTCTGACATACTTCTCCTGGAAAGAGATACCGGTGTCTTGGAGGTTTATAGTTTTTAATGCTTTTGCTATGGTGTTTAGTTTATATAGCTGAAATGCTGATGAAAAAGTTTTCCCTTTCTCTCTTTCTCTTAACCTTTTTGATAAGGATCATCACAGGTTTGTACCAGGATAAGGTTGTAGAGGTAATCATATTCTCCTGTAGGAATTCTAAAAATTGAATTTTCGGAGAAGGTAGGTAGAGTTTGAATGACTGGTTTACTCACTAGGCTCTCTACCTTCTCTAAGTATAGGATAACTCTTTATCTGTAAAGATTTGCCAGTCTCTTGGGGACCCATAGAAGGCCTTAGAGGAATCCTTTCCTCCCCAGATCTTTGCCTTGTAGCAGGTTTTAGTTGAGCAAAGATGAGTAGTTTTCTGGTGTTTGGCCTGCTCTGTTGGGTGAGAAAACTTTTCTATTCTGTTTTCATAGTTTCATGCACTGTCACATGTCTTTTTCTCTTCCCCAAGTTTCCCTGGAACCTGGGCTCCCCGAGACGCAGCACTGGAGCAGATGGATAATGGAGACTGGGGCTATATGGTGAGAGGCTTTTGCAGATGCATTTTGAAGGCTGGCAAATTATTTTTGTGTGTCTTTCCCCGCCTCTTATGTATTTTTAGGTATAATACATCTCATAAGAATGAAAATTATCAGTGGTGCAAACCGCCCCCCCGCCAATTAGTTTAGATGTATTTTTTGGGTGTTTTAACTTTGGTGTTTTTAGGTAAGCAAGCTCAACATGGACTCTCTATGTAACTTTTGATAATCATTTTTGTTTTTGATCTTTAAAGTATGTTGCCCTTAAAACTCTTCCATCATAGAGTAGTGACTGTTAAATGTCTAGTAGGTAATGGGTAGAGAGGACATTTTCTTGTGGTTGGGAAGGTTAACGGTTGAGAAGGTGCCACTTCTCCCACTAGCACTTTTTCTCGCATGTGCATGTGTCTTCCTATTTTCCTTTTCCTTTGCTAAGAAATATTTTATTTGTATAGTACCTGTCTTTATTTGTCTTATTTTATTTCTTAAATATGATTTTAAAAACCAAAGGTGTGTATTATTTAGAGAAGCTTGCTTTTCAAAATTAAAGGCCAGATTGCAACATTAATGTTACAAAAGTGAATATACTATCAGATTATGAAGTTTGAAAGCTGCTATTAGCCTTTGGGTATATGAGATTGTGTTGACCAAACTGTGTATTTTAACTTAGTATTTGATACTGGTATTTCCATGAAAAAGTTAGGAAAACTAGGTCTACACAAATTTTTATTTTTAAAATAAATTTCATGATTTCCCGCCTCCTTTTGAAGGGGAAAAGACAAAAGAAATATTGAAAGTAGATGTTTTATGTTATCAAATCATTTTTATTCTATTTTATGTTAAATTGAGTTAAGAAAAATGAAAGTTTTTTTTTTTTTTAATCTGAAAAAAACTTAAATGAGTATATTTTAGTTTGGCCTCTCTCCTCCCATAATATACTCTGACCTGAAAACTCTCTAGATACTGGGCCTGAAATAAAGTGCCTTTGGAAGCCATGTCCTCCTTTTTTAGTGTACGGCTTTGAAGAATTGGACATATCCCTTTTCTCTATTGAAAGCAAATGTTAGATCTCTTCATCCGGGTGGGTTTCTCACTGAAAATAAAGCTATATTTTGCATCAGTGGATTGCTAGATGTGTTGTAGCGTGAATCTTTTGCTTTGCTTGTTACCACTAATTTTCTTAATCTGTCAAAGTTAGGATTTAAAAACATTTCAGATGACTGATCATTTTTTAAAAACTTGCAGATGACTGACCCAGTCACGTTAAATGTAGGTGGACACTTGTACACAACGTCTCTCACCACACTGACGCGTTACCCGGATTCCATGCTTGGAGCTATGTTTGGGGGGGACTTCCCCACAGCTCGAGACCCTCAAGGCAATTACTTCATTGATCGAGATGGACCTCTTTTCCGATATGTCCTCAACTTCTTGAGAACTTCAGAGTTGACCTTACCCCTGGATTTTAAGGAATTTGATCTGCTTCGGAAAGAAGCAGATTTTTATCAGATTGAGCCCTTGATTCAGTGTCTCAATGACCCCAAGCCTTTGTATCCTATGGATACTTTTGAAGAAGTTGTGGAGTTATCTAGTACTCGGAAGCTTTCTAAGTACTCCAATCCAGTAGCTGTCATCATAACCCAATTAACCATCACCACCAAGGTCCATTCCTTACTAGAAGGTATATCAAACTATTTTACAAAGTGGAATAAGCATATGATGGACACCAGAGATTGCCAGGTTTCCTTTACTTTTGGACCCTGTGATTATCACCAGGAAGTTTCTCTCCGAGTCCACCTGATGGAATACATTACAAAACAAGGTTTCACAATCCGAAACACCCGAGTGCATCACATGAGTGAGCGGGCCAACGAGAACACAGTGGAGCACAACTGGACTTTCTGCAGGCTGGCCCGGAAGACAGATGACTGACCTCCAGCACTGGGAGAAGTTCCTGGAAATGGACTCTCCAGGAGATCGAAGAGGCTGATTTTTTTTTTTTTTTTAAATCACAGTGTGAGATTTTTTTTTTTTTAATATTTGTATTTATTTGAAGGCACTGGGGACCAGAAGGAAGGAAGTTTTGTGCTTCAGCAGACTCCTCTATGTTTTGTTCCCTTCACCCTGAGTATGCATGTGCCTGTTCAGAGCCTCCAGATACCTTTTTTATAAAAAGAAGTCTGAAAATCATTATGGTATATAATCTACCCTTAACAGCTTTTTTTTATTACAGTGCTAAAATGATTTCTGATTAAATAGTCCCTAACTCAACTAGAAGGCTAAAAATGCAGGAATGAAAGAATAAACAGAGTACTCATGATGCCTTTGGGAAAAATCAAAACATCATGTAGGGTGACCTAGTTTTCAAACCAATAAGCAGTATTATAATATTAAAGGAAAACTGTTCCAATCATTTAAAAGTACTTGTTAAGTACTGCTTTTTACAGTTATGACAACTGTTTCTTTCTATGCATATAAATCAAGCAACCAAATATCTGTAGCCATGGAAATGTCTGACTAGAAATATTTATATTGGCTTCTGAATACAAAATGTCCCTGTGGTAGAAATCTTACTTCTTATGCCTGGTGCAGTATAATTCCCAAGTGTACTGTCTACCAGAATAAATAAATAAATAAATAAATGAAATGTGAAAATTAGGTTTGTATTTATTGATTATTGTCAGTTAAGGGGGGAAATCATATTCTTTGTCTAAAATATGCATTGTTTTATGTCCCAATAAATGCTGCCTATAGCACATTTGTATTTGATTCAGGAGGACTCAGTGGAACTTTAGGATGTGGTTTATAGAATTCTACTATGCTGTTGAAGCAGGGAATTGATGGAATTATTAGTTTTGTCTAAAAGAATGCATATCTGGACAGTGAACGTACAGTTTGACAAATTTTTTTCAAATAGGACTTACTTTGAAGATTATAGATTTTTCTTCAGTAAGCCACCAGTTGTCATTGCTCTATGACCCTTATTCTAGCTTTGTATCTATCGAGCACAGGCACAAACCGACTCTTTAGCCATTTTATTCTCATATATTATGGTGACCCACAAATGTATTTTGTTATTAAGGTTAAATTTCTGAGGAGAAGAAAACTGCAGTGAATGAAGGATCTAGAACAGTTGGAAATATCATGTACTTTTTAGAATTTTACTGTAGTCTTATTTTGCATAAGTTCATTTGATTTTGCATAAGTTCATTTGATTCTATTTCTTGGAAGTTACTCACTGGAAGGATTATGTTAGCTGTAGTGAAACTTCCTAGTTTGCTAGAACACCTTTTAAAAGAGAGTTCAGAAATTTCTTCCCCGTTGTCTAAGGGAGGAGTAGAGTACTGAGGCTGTGTGACTGGGGAAGCTCACTCCTTTTCTCCTCTGAGAAGATTCTGAAATTCTCTTTCAAAGAAGGATGAGAATATTTACTTACATCCATTTCTGCCCACGTCTCTCTGAAAACTTAAGATTTGACAAATGACCAATATCCAGAAACCTGTAACTACCCCATTTTTACCATCTTCAAACTAAAATCCCTTAATGTTATTGGTAGGTTGCTGTGGTTTCAGTAAATGTACTAAGTATGAGGTTATCTTTTTAGAAAATGGTCTCCTCCTTCAAACTGATTAGTGGTTACCTAAAAAAGAGACAAGAAAAGGAACAGCCCAGCCAGCTATGTGTTGTTGAGTTAGCTGAGGTGAATGAAAGATGAAATTATTTGGGTTGAAAACAGGTATGGAAATGGGAATGAATAATTGTTCCAAGGTTTTAAGAGTAAAACATCTATGAGGTCTCTTCCTTGTCCAGATTACTGGAGATAAGTTTGCTTTTGGTAACTTTTCTCAGATTTATAAATTATTAACAATTAAGTGATTATTTATATGAGTAAATTAGGAAAAGTAGCCTGCTGAGATTTTTTGCAATTTAATTTGTTTGATGGTATTCAATTTTGAGTGTTTTATATACTCGGGTAGTTGAAAATGATGTGAAAAATGTAGGTTGGTTATATTTGGGTAGTTTGAGACAATTATGTCTTTTATGAAACTTTAAATCATTTTTACTTTGGAAGAGTTGATTTTTTAAACATTTATGTTAGTTGTATTCCTAAGGCTGTATTTTTTTCCTTTTCATTTTTTTAATTGAAGTATAGTTGATGTACAATATAATATTGGTTTCAGGTGTACAACATAGTGATTCGACATTTATATACATTACGAATTGATCACTGTAAGTCTGGTAACCATCTGTCACCATACAAAGTTATCACACTATTATTGACTATACTCCCTATGCTGTACATTACATCCCGTGGCTTGCTTATTTTATAACTGAAAGTTTGTACCTTTTAATCCCTTTCACCTATATCCCATCCCCACCTCTGCCAACCACCACTGTATCTATGAGTCTGTTTCTGTTCTGTTTTGTTTGCTCATTTGTTTTGTTTTTTAGATTCCACATGTAGGTGAAATCATATGGTATTTGTCTTTCTGTGTTTGATTTATTTCACTTAGCCAGTACCGTCTTATGTCCATTCATGTTGTTGCAAATGGCACAATCTCATTCTTTTTTATGGCTGAGTAATATTCCTTTGTTTATGTACACCACAGTTTCTTTAGCCATTCATGTGTTGTTGGACACTTAGGTTGCTTCCAGATCTTGGCTGTTGTAAATAGTGCTGCAGTGAACGTAAGGGTACATGTATCTTTTCAAATTAGTGTTTTTGTTTTCTTTGGGTAAATACCCAGAAGTGGAATTGCTGGATTGTATCATAGTTCTATTTGTAATTTTTTGAGGAACCTCCATACTGTTTTCCATAGAGGTGGCACCAACTTACATTCCCTGCAGCAGTGCACAAGTGTTTCCTTTTCTCCATATCTTTGCCAGTACTTGTTATTTATTACCTTTTTAATGACAGCCATTCTGATTGGTGTGTGGTGATCTACATTTTATTTAGATTATACCAAGTATAGGCACTTTTAGAAGAGGATTGTTTGTGTGCATGTGTGCGTGTGTGTGTATGTGTTCTTTTAAGCCCTGGGATAAATAAATGTGTGCTATAAGGACACAAGTGATAACTAATGAGTCTATTGGCTTTTGCTAGCTCTAAAGCAAATCCTGGCATTTAACAAAATAGAAGCTGCAAGTGGATAGTGCTGCTGTTTTTTTATTGTGGGAAATTTCAAACATATTCGGAAGTAGAATAATGTAAACACCCACGTACCCATTGAATAGCTTCAACAATGATTCACTCCCCCTTTTTCTTCCCATGGATTATTTTGAAATAAATCACAGATATTTCATCTGCTTCAGTCTGTGTCTCTGGAAGATAATGATCCTTTTTAAAAAATACATACATATGTAGTTGTAGATTTTAATGATGCACATGCCATAGTACCATTACCACGTGGTGGTGCCTCCTGAATGCTGTTGATTATTTCATAGCCTGGATCTCCAGCCTTGTAATAGTGGTCTTATATATTTCTCATAGGCAGGGTTCCCCTGTTTGTAGAAAAAAGTGCATTGTTAAGACAGACTATTTCTGCCAGGATTAATGACTTCTACTTTCAAATTAAGTTTTTAGTTTCAAAAAAGTAACATTACATACGATTCTTAATATTTTAATTTATTTTTAAAATTCATTTTGTGTGAACATATGGGGAAACATTTTTTCCAAAGGGCATCCTTCCTTTTCTCATGCAGATTTTAAATTGTGGATGCAGGTGGCCAATTAAAAAAACACAGCTATCATTTGCTTTTGGGATTTAATACAAATGAAAGGCTTGACTCTTTGAGGCTCTTTGAAATTGAACGTGTTAACCACAAAGCAAGGAGCCAGAAGGTGAAATCAGGTAAGCAATATTCTGCGTCAGAATTGGGTATCCCCATTATTCTCTAATGTCATGTCTTGATTTCTTTTCTTCACAGCTCTACCCCCATCTTTTATAGTATTTACTTGTTTACTTTTTTGCCTGTCTCAGTTAAAACTGCAAGCTCTTTGACGACAGGGTCTATGACTCTTTTGTTCTCCTGTGTCCTCAGTACCTAGAATAGTTTCTGGCATACCTCATATGCTCAGTAACTATTTGTTGAATGATTGAATGAATGCATGGATCAGTAGTTGCATCTGGCAACTACTTGAATAAATTTCTGCAATAGAATAATTGGGGAGAAATGGGATTCTTATTTTGAAATTATCCCCAGTGGTTCTTTCACTGCTTGCATCTATAGGGAATCACTTAGATAGGAGTGCACGTGGGGAACAGGAACAGTCTTTTGCAGTTCATTTCGGAGAAACTGTCTTGAAATAGCATCCAAATCAGGAAAAAAGCCAAAAGGCAGAACACCATAGCGAGAGTAAACCATGGAAGTGCATCATCCTGTCTGGGGATAAAGCTCAGCACCTAACCTGCCCCAGACAGGAGAGACTCTTATAATTCTAAGACATTCAACACAGCATAGCACTTTTCTTTTGGTAGAAATGTCAGTGAAATAAATTCCTGTGTGTACTTTTGTGTCTACAAGGCATGTTTCAAAGTAGCTTTTGTTTTAATTTATTTGAAATACCTGTAGTGTTCCTTTTTCTGCCAGTGCAAATGAGGAAAAATGTCTCTAACTGCAGTTTCAAAAATTACCTACAGCAGATTAGAAACTACACTTTAAAAGGGCTATTTTGGTGGTGCCTAGAGGAGCCAGAAATGTAAGATTAGGGAGCCATATATTAGTTGTCAACAAAGTGTCGTTTTAACTAACTGGAAGCATTCTTCAAGGTCACTTACAATCTCACATTCTTAAAATCGCTGTGCATGAAAGAGTCACGTTGCTGTACCTGTCACCTTTGGTGCAAGGTAATGTAAGCTAGGATGGCAAAAGTTTGCAGTGTTGGGTATGCAGCAGGGTCCTTGTTCCGCTGCGTAGGTCACAGAACCATGTTCATTTACTCCGTAAATGCAGAGTATCTACTCTGTGATAGACCCTGGAGCTGGGAAGATGAAAACTCCATCCTTGTTCACAGTCACGTGGCAGGAGATAGGGAAGAGTGAATGGGATGGCGTGCATCACCATCTTACCAAGTCTGCTGATGCTGTGGGTCAGTCATGCCCCTCATCTAGACAAGCCTGCCCTCATATAGTGTCCAGATTAAATTCTTTCAAGATGAAGAGTAGAAACAAGTAAAAGACAAGGAAGCCCCTGTGTTCTTCGGTGAATACGAGGAATCAGGAGAACTGGCACGTTTCCTTGTGTTGCTAGTAAAGCAGGTTTGAGCTAGATATGTCAGTGTTTCCTGACAGGTGTTAAGGCAGGGTAGGTTTTTCTCTCAAGTACCAAAGGGCACGTGTGTTTCTTTAGACCACAGGGGCTAATCTGGAGTGGCAGGATTGCTGTAGTTCTATGCCAGGATTTAAATGTTAGAAAGTAGAGAGATCTAATCATTAGAAAAAGTAACACACTAGAAGTAGCTTAACTGTACTAAGCAGTAAATGTATTGTACCATCTTTAGTTAAGTTCTTTATCTTTCCTTGTTGAGTTAAAAGGATGCCTTCCTGGAGACCGGGATTGGCCTTCTAGCTGACAACCATCTTGGGGGTAACGTTGTGTTGCAACTTTAGATAACCATGTTAAATTAAGCTATGAGGTATGACAGGATGCAGAATGTTAAGAGCAAGTCTAACACCATGCTAAGTGTGAATGAAAGCCTGAGAGGTGCCAATTTGATGAGGTGTTAAGACACCTTTTCTGAAATTTGAAGAGGAAAGAGGTAAAAAACTAGACTTCATCATCTGAATTACATATCTGCATTATAGAACTTAAAATAACCTGTTGTATAGCTATAGAGTGTCTTTGTTTTGATCATCTGTATCAAATCTGCTAGTAAATGTTGGTTCCCCAAATTGTAAATACAGGGTTTATTTCTCTACTCCAGTTAATGTAGGCGTTGATATTCATAATGTTTCCCAATGAGGCTCATAGCAGAGAGTCTGGGATGCTGGCTGTAGACTGTTAGGATTTTATGAGTCCTCCCCCTTCTTCTGTTAATGAGTTCTCGTGTTCTCTCCTGGGACAGCTGGGGATCTTTTTGCCATAACCCTTGTAATTGTCATTTATTTGGCTTTCCTGGGATACTGATGGCAGTGCAGCAGGCTTCTTTGTCCCTGGGATTTTCTTCCTTGTAGAGAAGAGGGAGGAGGCATCTCTAGCAGGCAGTGAGGGCTGAGAGAGAGACCCCCACCCCCAAGCTTCCTATCACCCCTGAATACCTACTGTATCAACACGAAACTAAGAGTTAAAAGGCTGAAATTAAGATGGTTAAATCAGTGCAGTGATTTACCTTTTTATTTCTGTTACTTAAAAGCCACTTTGCCACTATGTGTGTATGCCCTTGTGTATGTCAAGCCGTGATTTAGAGCTTGGGCCTTTCTCCAAATTCCCTTTACCAAATTCTGAGCAATGCATTTTGCTTATTACAGTTCAGACTCAGAGTTCCTACCAGGCCACGTCCCTGCTCCAGGTTTCTTTTATGTATTCTCAAAATATTTTAAATAGACATGCTATGCCAAGCAATTTCTAACCTAATGGGAATCAATTAAAATGGGAAAACATGGAGTTATATTCACTGCTTGCTCTCGGCTCTCTTGCATAATTTATAATGTGTTCTATTCAACTACCTGAGTATTGGTTGGTGACCTCTGAGCCCACTGGAACAGACGTTCATAGACATTTCCGTCATAACAACCAAGTGCTGAATTTAAACACTGATCGGTGAAGTCAAAAGCATCAGTTAACAAGACAGCATCCTTTCTGAGAGAAAAAAACAAAAGAGTCGTATTTTAGATTGCTTTTGCGAATCTGATTAATCTGGGATGGTGAATAACAACACCTAATTAGAAGTTGCATCATTATCCACTTTTCGAACAACTCGGCTTTTTTTTTCTTTAAGTTTTAATTTTTGATCAGTTATATAAGCACAGCATAAAGAGTCAAATAGTTCTTCAAGGCTTGTTATTGAAAATCAGCATATCCCTGCCTCTCCCCTCCATTTCTTCCCCCTACCCCTAGAGGCAATCAGTTTTAGTCTTTTAGCTGATATTTGGGGAACTTACCCGAATGACTCTAAACGTCTTGTTTGTATCGCTACCTCATATTCATTGGTGCTAGATATCATCTGTTGACTATTACAGAAGATACGGATTTCTTTTAGCACCACTCTCCTCAGCAGTACCGATCATCCCCCAACCTCTGCTTCCTCCCCACGGCCTTCCTGCCTCCCAATATAATTACAGTGTTGGCCAGACTGATGTTCAGTGCTTCCCTTGTTATGACTGTATGTATCCTGTACGTTAGTATGACTTTATGTATTCTGTTCACAGCGGAGCCACGTTCCCACCACATCTCTCCTGTTCTAGGGGTCGCTCTCCAGCACTTCTGTCATAGTTCTTAGTGATTTCACTGTCTGTGGGGAAGTTCCTCTAAAACTTGATTTCTCAGTTCCTTGAATCTTCTCCCCATTGACCGTGTTCTACAGCCTCGCTCTGTCACTGTCTGCCAAGGTCACGCACCAGGCCTTGTCATCCACACCTGCATCTCACCATAGTCTCAGCCATGTTCTTGTCACTGTCTCCTCTCTTTCTAGCTTACTCCCTCTACTATTGTGACTTCTATGATTCTTATTTTCCCTTTCAAGCGACAAAATTATTTTAACCTATGGAATGAAATATTAAAATAATTGTTCACATGCTTCCCTTCCTCTTTTAGCAGAGGATATAAAATAAAATATGTGATTGTTTGTTTATACTCTTCCTTAACGCTCGTTTCACAGAGTATTTGCGGTGACTGAGATACTGTACTTATTTCATCCTTTCTGGATGGCCTTTAATCATTATTATGAAATGATTTTCCTACAGGGCTGTTCATGATTCTTTGACCCTCCTGGCACCTACTGCCTATTTAAAGTCCCTCATCTACATGGTCTCGCTTCCCTCATCTGTCTGAAATTCCATGGTCTATTTATTATATTCACTCCCTCCAAACAATATTCAACAATTTTTCTTGCTTTGTCATACTTGTTTAGCAAAACCCCGTTCCTCGTCATTTCCAGTTTTCCACCGACTTTGCCCCATACCTTTGTAACTATATGGCTGGAAAAACCAATACTGACTGTTGTAATAAGGACCCAAGTGGGCCCTTATTGCTACCCGGCAGTCATATCACATTCTAATTCATTTACTCCTTCATTCTCTTAGATGATTATCTCCCACCTTCTCTTTGATCTTCAGATCTACACTGCTCACCTCCCCATCTCTCTCAACCTAGATGACTTTGAGTCCTATTCCACTGGTAAAATAGAAGTGGTAAGAAGAGTTCCACAAGTTCCCACCCATGCATTTAAACATATGAGGTTTTCTCTCATAGTACAGGTAAACTGTCCAGGTCCCCAGCTCTGACCAGTCCCTCCTCGTCCACTAGATGCCTTCCCCTCCTGCCTAGTAGAGAGAGCAATGTTCCAGAAGTCCTCCTGCCTTTCCCCTATAACGTCAAAATTCCCCTCTCTCCCGAAACATTTCCATCAGTTTCCAAACAAGCTGTCATTTCTCCCACCTAAAAACAATCATTTGGGGCTTCCCTGGTGGCACAGTGGTTGAGGGTCCGCCTGCCGATGCAGGGGACACGGGTTCGTGCCCCGGTCCGGGAAGATCCCACATGCCGGAGCGGCTGGGTCCGTGAGCCATGGCCGCTGAGCCTGCGCGTCCGGAGCCTGTGCTCTGCAGCAGGAGAGGCCATAACGGTGAGAGGCCCGCGTACCGCAAAAAAATGAAAATAAAAACAATCATTTGACTCTATTTCCCTCTCCATCATCTGACCCATATCTTAGCTCCACTTTGTGACAAAACTTGAAAGAGTTCTGCTTGTTGATGCTTGCTCTTTCCAGTTCTTCTCCGCCTCTTCTCAACTAGATCCGTTCAGGTCTTCACTCCCACCATTCCACTGAAGCAGCTCTTGTCGAGGTCACCTCATCATCATCTTTGGAGGGTCCCAAGACTCCGTACCTGGGCCTCTTCTCTTCATACACTCACCCCTTGTGATACCATCCTTCTCATGGCTTTAAATACCAACGATATGCCAGTGACTTCGAAATTTTTCTCTCCAGTCTCTCCTGCTTACTAACATCTTACTTGATTTCTAGCAGGCTCTTCAAACTTGATGTATTCAAAACCAAACTCCTGACCTTCTAGACCTTCTATCCATCCTGCCCAAACCTGGCTTTCCTGTAGTCTTCCCCGTTTATAGTAAATGGGGACTCTGTCCTGGCCCAAAACCTGAACTCCTCTCTGTCTCTTATATTCCATATCTAATCTGTCAGCAAATCTTATTCTACCTTCAAAATATATCCAGACTTCTACCACTTCCCACCACCTCCAGTGCTATCACCCTGGTCCAATCCAGCAGCATCTCTCCCCTGGATTATTGCAGCAGCCTCCTGACTGGACTCCCTGCTTTTCACTCTTGTCCCCCTCCCGAGTCAATTCTTAATATGGCAGCTGGAGTGATCCTTTAGAAACACACCTCAGATCTCCTCAGATTGTGTCTGTCCTACGCTCAGAACCTTCCTTGTTCTCACACAAAGTGAAAGTCAAAGTCTTACGTCTTTGCAGTGACCTACACCCACTCCATTGTCGTTCCCAGTCCACCCCTAGTTCTCTGACCTCTGTTCTCATTCTCCACCTCAGTCATGCCACTCCAGCTGCTGCGGCCTCTCCTCTGTTTGCTGGATGGACATGCCAGGCACTCTCTGGCTTCCAGCATTTGTACTTCTCCTTTGCCTGGAATGCACTTTTCCCAGCCAACCACATGGCTTCTCTCGCCTCCCCACCTTCAGATCTTTCCTCAGACATCACTTTCCCCGAGAGGCCTTCTCTAACCTATTTGAAACTACAGTCCTCCACCCCCACCCCCAGCATTCCTCATCCCCCTTCCCTGCTCTCTTTTTCTTCGTAGCGTTTATTACCACTTTGCACGCTATATGTTTGACTTATTTTGTGTATGTGTGTTTGTTTCCTCTTCTCCAGTCTGTCGCCTTTTCAATCTGAAACTCATATCCTTCATTTGAGGAGTATTTTCTTGAATTATTTTGTTAATGATTTGCTCCCTTCTGCTTTCTTTTTCTTCTCTTTCTAGACCTGTTCTTTAGATGATGGACAGTTAGGATCAGTCCTCTTACTATTTTTGTCTTCTCTCCTATTTTTGTCTTCTTGCCTTTTTGCTTTCTTTCTGCGAGATTTCTGCAGCTTTGTCTTCCAGTCCTTTAATTGAGCTTTTCATTTTCACTATCATTAATTTCATAGAGCCCTTTTTTTTTTTTGGTTCTCTGAATATTACTTTTTAAGAAATGACATTCTTGTTTTGTGGTTGCCATAGCTCCTCTTAACTCTTTGAGGATATTACTGATCTTTCAAAAAAGTTCTCTGTGAAGATTCTTTTGTGAGCCTCGAGTTGCCTTGTTCTTGCTTGGTCTCTGTCTTTTATGTCAAGGGCTTTCCTCAGGTGTCTGGTGATCCCTGAGTGTCTGATCATAGCTAAGAGTGGGGCATTAACTAGCTGATTAGAAGTCTGGGTGTGCTTGTCAGTGTGGGGTTCCCTGTGGGGTGAACTGGGTATACCATTGGGGGACCTCGGTGTCAGTGTCTTTACTTCTCTCTCCTTTGGGCTGGTCAGATTCTCTAGAGGAGGATCATGTTATCATTTTCCTGCAGGACACGAGCCTGGCTGCCAATTTGCTGGGAACCGGTGGGAAAAGAGGGCTGGGGGAGAGGGCTGTCAGCATTGGCCTATAAACGTTTATTCAAGCCCCTGTTTTCTGTAGGGTAGCCTGATGTTCTTCATCCTCAACTGTGCCTGATGTCCCCTAGTCTGTAGACCCTCTGTTTACCCTCCTGCCAGGGTGCGGTCAGGGAAAGCCTTAAAACTACTCGGACAGGAGAAGGGGAACTGGGGATTCAACTCCTCCTGAAATAGACTTCCAACCCATCCTGTCACGTTTACCTTCACCCCCATTGCCAGAGGCACCTGGTGCTGTAGTTCTTGAGGTTCTTTGGTGGCACTTGTTTGCTTCTTGGCTTTTCCTACTGCTGGTTTATGATTCAGTTTATTCAGGTCTGCTAAGTCCATCTTCTCTCCAAATTTCATGTTTCCTCTCCAGTTCTCTTTCTTTGTGTGTTAATGCCTTTTAAAATTTAAATTTTTATGGGTTTATTAATTTTTAAATTAATTTACTGACGTTTTAGTAGGGTTTCAGGAGGGAACAAAAATAAATGCATATGTTCAATCTGCCATCTTTGCCTGGAAGTCTCCCACCTGAGATTTTATGACCATTTAAACAACTAAAAACTGTTTTGGTCAGTTAATTACCATAACACAGAGAGCTGGTTCTCAGTGTCACTTAGAATAGTGTGCCATCCTTCATTTGTCATCTCAGAAATCTGAGGGCGATACTGAATAATCGAGGCATGGAACACAGAACTGTTAAAAGCATGGAGTCTGTTACATACCTAATTACCCTGTGGTAGTCGGAAGGTTACTTAGGAACCATAATGTGAGTAAATCAGTTTGTGGGTTTGTTGCATGCATAAGTTGTCTATTTGTGTCAGTGCTGTCTTTCTTGTCTTGAATTGTAAGCCTCTGGGGCCATGGGAAGCACTTAGCGTGCTGTTGGAGATTTAAAAAATCATGCTTATAGGTATTAAGGTGATCGTTTGTGTTTCATTATCACTGGCAGTCAGGGCTAGAACATTATTGTCTTCATGTGCTTTTAAATGCCAAGCGTTTCAGAAAGTTAGATACACTTGGGCTTGAACTGTGCAGTACTCAATCATGCTATTAATGGTTCCCACCACTGGATTCTCTATATTAGGGAAAGTTTAATACCCGGGGCATAATTATATCAAAGGTAGTTTTTGATAATTTTTGAAGATTTAATTGAACAGACATTTACTGACCACCAACTATTTGTTAGGTGCTTATTTGGAGTCATATGTAACATGTTGCATATTGTTAGAAAGAAAAAGAACCTGGTCTAGTTTTTATAAACCTCCTTCATGAATATCTTATTATATAAAAAAAATTCAAATCTTTATTTATTGGCTGGGCCGCGTGGGATGCGGGATCTCAGTTCCCTGACCAGGGATCGAACCCATGCCCCCTGCAGTGGAAGCGCAGAGTCTTATCCACTGGACCACCAGTGAATTCCCCTTTCTTTTTGTTCTTAGTCTTGTTGATAATGTGAACTATTGGAGGTTCTAGGGGAAAAGTCATATACACATGTGTCATGCCACATCCAGCCCCCAACATACACAACAGGCATCCTATTTTTTCAGAAAAGGTTGTGTTATCAAGTTAGCTCATTTTCCATCTTATGGACAATGGTTACTAATTAGTATTAATTTCTGTTTCTTCCAGTACCCTGGTCATGTTGGGGCTTTGGTTTTTATATGTTTTTAAAGTGATCATTTAGATTATATATAAAGTGACAGGATGAAAGTATTGCATTAGTATGTCATGACCCTAAACTGCACCGCCTTATGCTGCATATAAAAACTATATTATTGTGTTACAAATCAGTATGTGAATTACTAGATTTTAAAAATGTCGTCTTGAAGCTGAGGGAGTATTAAAGTGAGCTTAGTCAACTAAGCATATTCAACAAAGATAAGGATATATTTGAAATAAACAATAGCCCAACCTTCACTTTAACATACCGTTTAAGAGCACATGCTCTGGAGGCAGACAGGTCCTCGATTGTACCCAGACCCTCCTCTGGCTCACTGTGTGACCTTGGGCCCTAAGCCTGAATTTCCTCCCCTGTAAAATGGGGAGCGTAATAGTATCCACTTCAGAACCCTGTCAGGGTTAAATGAGATGATGTATATAAGAGCTTTTGGCATAGTGCCTGCCACACATAAGTGTTCCTTAAGTATTAGCTAAGACCAAGGCTCATTAATATTATTAATTAATACATATTATTAATATGTAGTATGCTTTTATTCATATTCTGTAGATTCTGTCATTTCTGGACAATGTTGAAGAGTTCGATTGAGGTAGCTAGATAATTTATTCTTAAGCATTTTTAGTTGTGATTTCCCCCCCATTTTTTCCTTTCATTAATTCATAATGCTTTACGTTGGTGTAATGATGCTAGGATGTAAACCTGTCCAGGGCTGGTGCTGCTTTTGCCAGACCCCCTTTTAACAAGGTTTTAGAGTTGAAGGTTTTGGAGTTTGAAGTGAACAAAGGGCTTAGGGCGAAGGGCAGCCACTCACCGGATGAGGAGGAGAAGGTCCAGGTAGGCTTTTCTCGCCACATCTATTTGGACGCCGGATAGGAAGCCATCATGGAGAAAGTCGCCCGTGTTAGTCATGATGCCGTGTAAAGCATAGAGATCACAGAGGCGTTTGAGCACCTGCTGAATTGCTGGTTGATTTTCCAGTTTCTCCAGAGCTTCTGTAAAAATCTTCACAGTGACATAGTAGAGGTGTGCCTACAAAGACACAGAGATGCGTTAGCCTCTGATTTCTGCCTCGACAAGTCATCCTGGAAGTTCGGCAAAACTGCTGGAATAAGATTGCTGTGGCCATGTGTTTCCCAGCAGGCTGACAAGCAGCTGCCTTTCTACTAGCTCACCGCGTCTAACTGAGCCTTTTTGACAGGGGTATGTGCACGCGTGTGTGTGCACGCGTGTGTGTGTGCGCGTGCTGGGGGCTGGTGGGCTCTGGAACTTGGCCCTTAGTTTCCTCATTTTCCTTGGGCCACTCAAGTAGGTTTGAAAGCAGAGAGAGAGAATACAGCAGTATTGGAGGCTGACCTGGGGACAGTGGAGGACAGCACTGCTTTTCTCAAGAAAACAGCTACTTATTGTCTGCCGTGTTCAAGGCAGTGGTTGTGTGTGTGTGTGTGTGTATGTATGTGTGTGCCTTGAAGTGAGAGAATAGAGGTTCAAGATGTACACGAAATTTATCCTAGCTAGACTGTAAACTCCTTGAGATAAGCTATTTAGCCCATATACAACAGTCCGGCTTCGTCGGTGGTTAAAATAATACTTTGATGCTGGTTGGTAAGTGACCACTGCCTTCATCTGGCGAGAACCCCCTCTGCCAGGCTTCTTCCCAGGGATGCCCCCTCCTCCACACAGCCCAGCAACTAAAGGTTTAACGCAGCCCGACCCAGCAGGAGGCTTTAAGGACCCTGCCTCCCTTAGGTCTGAAGTCCTTTCTGATTGGTGGCTGTTCCTGCCTTACTGGTTATTAAACCCTTCTCCCTAAGACAAATGCACATTATTTTTATCTGGTAGGATATACGAGTTCTATGGGAGGAGAGAGAAAAGGAGAGCATATATATTAGGTCTTCTCAAATTTTTATGTGTGTACAGATTACCTGGGGATTTTGTCAAAATGCAGATTTTGGAATAGCTCCCCAGTAATGCCCATCCTGCTGGTAGTGACTTGAACTAGCAAGGCTTAGAGTGTCTCGAGGGATCAAAGGAATTTACCCGAGGGACAAGGAATGAGGGTAAAGTCATTCTTAGGCAGGGGAGAACTGCACGGGCACAGGGCTATACTTTCAGGAGGCTGCAGCAATTTAAGGGTAAGGTGAGGTGATGACAGGGAACTGTGAAAGTTAGGGTGGACGGGCAATAGGGACCCAGGTCGATGAAGGGCTGTGAATGACATGGTTGGGATTTTATTCTGTGGGGGTCAGGGGGCCACCAGAGTCTTCAACAGGCCAGTGACCTGATGAGGTTTCTCACTTGGAGTGGATCTGCCTTTCCCAGGGAGGCCTCACGTGGGTGCTAACAATACCACTTTGCCACCTGGACCTGGGGTGCTCACAGCCATGCTGGGTTTGCAGCATTTGAATATGGAAAAGGAGAAGATGTGCTCTGCTGCCTCTGCTGGGTCAGACAGCCCTTGGTGTTCAAACTGGACCCAGTTTGGCAAAGCTGGAGAGCCTCACTTTTTTCACGTAGGCCCTGTTCCCCTTTTCTAATCCGAGAGCCACATCCTTAAATTCTCAGGGACCTGGGTTTAAGAGTAGAGTGATGAAGAGCTGCCCAGGGGCCTCTGCCTCACAAAGCAGGAGGAGGACCAGAGAGAGGAAAGTGGCCTCTTCCTTTGGGCAAAGGCTGAGCCAAACCTCGGCACCATGCTCTGAACACAATGAACTTTATTTATTGTGTGTGTGTGTGTCTGTTTCAGTCTTGCTTCCTGCCTAATTTAGGGGTGGGGTGGGATGTGTAGCATTTATAGCCTAGGTGGCTCTTCAAGTTGTACAGGTATTAACTCATTGAATCTTCACGATAATCCTACAAGTTAGGTACTATCAGTAGCTCCATTTTGCAGATGAGGCATCTGAGGCATTGAGGGATTAAGTTCCTTGCCTGCCCAAGCACTGGCTGGTGAGTGGTGGCAGTGAGGTCCAAACCAGGGTAGTCTGCCTCTCGGTTAAGTTTGTACCGTTAACCGCTGTGCTGTGTTGCCAAAGCCACCAGAGACTGAGGCGAGATTATAATGGGCTGGGACCAGAACTTAGGCCAGGGTCCGATCCTCCTTCTCCACCCCTCTGCCACTGTTCCCCCCCCACCCCGCCGCTGTGTTGCCATCACTCTACCTACACATTTGTGGTTTCCAGATGAGACCCAGTTGGGTACTTGAGGTTTCTGTAGAGTAGATGGCCTCCCAGAGCCCAAAGACCAGAAAGCGCAGATTTCCCTGCACATTATGACTTTAGAGACTTGGCTTGGGCACCGTCTTCCCAGGAAGCCGCTCATCCTTAAAACTGAGGCTATGCTTACTTTCCCTCGCAGGGTCATTTAATATGAGGTAACCCTGGCAAGCAGTGTCTGGTGCATGGCCGGCCATGGGTTTGGAAAGCAGGCGAATCATGGGCAGGTGTGGCTCCTTTTTAGGTGTCTGGTGAGAGCACAGCATTTGCTTACCCTCTTCTGTGTTGACCCGGACATTTGACACAGCAGGGGGTGCCTCTGTGACGGCCGGAGCGGAATGGAGGGTGGCAGAGTCAATACCGGCGCCAGCCGATGTGATGGAGGTGGCAGGTCACCAGGTGGCGCTCATGCCCAGCCTGCCTGACCAGCCCTGCCCCGCCCGACCCATGAGGGAGGCTGCAAAACGCTTCTGGGCTCCCCTGTTCTAGCCTGCTATTTTTGGGGCCTGCTGCCTGAGGATTGAAGGGAACGCCTTGGTTTTCCAGCTGTAGGTAGGGCCAGAGTCCCAGCTGCCTTAGCTAGAGCTCAGCAGTCATTCCTACCTCCTTCCCACCGCATTGCTCCCTGAAGCCCGTCCCTTTCTCCTACACCCTTAATATCTCTGCATCTACCCACTTCTCTCCGTGCCCTCTGGCAGATTCATGGTCTGGATCACCCTCAGCCCTTGCCCAGACTGCTGCTGCCTGCTCCGTACTGGCCTCTAGCCTCCAGTCCATTCCACCCCCTGAAGCCTGTATGATCCTTCTAGAATGAAACTGATCGCTTCGCTCCTCTGATACAGACCCTGCAGAGGCTTCCCACTGCAATGAGAAACAGAAGTCAGACTTCTCACAGTGGTGCAGAAGGTGCCAGGCCTTGCCTATCTTTCCTCCTCCCCTATCCTCCTTCCTGTCCTGGTTTGTCTTCTTCCTTTAGGTTCTCCTTGGAAGGATGTACATCTCCTCCCAAGCACCATGCCTTTTCTTGCCTCCTCCTTCTACACCTCCTCATCCCTTTGCTGGGACACCTTCCTGTCCAAAGCCACAGCCTCCACCCCTTGCCTGGTTAATTTCAGCCCATCCTTGCAGTCCTGGCCTATACGCCGCTTCTGAGAAGGCTTTCTGACTCCTCAAGCTGGGTAGACTTGCACCTGCTCTGGGATCTTGTGGCAGCCTGTATTTCCCCGTGACAGTGCTTTCCTGATCGCAGCCGTCTGTGGACACTGTTGAGCCCCCAGTACCCAGCCTGATGGCTGATGTTGAGTGGGTGCTCAAATATTTGCTGACTGACTGTGAATTATGCGCAAACACAAAACGTAGTGGAAATGGAATCAGACATCTAAGGATTGCCTGTGGGGCTGAGGAGAGACTTGACCTGCTTTTCTATCTGGGAGGAAATATTTGAACAACCTGAGGCAAATCCAATAACACTGCCTCATTACACTTTTTCCCTAAGAGCTGCCAGTAAGATTGCTTTGGAGTTAAGTCCTTTAATTAAAATACCCTGGACTAAAGCCTTGAAAGTCAAATGAAGGCAGCCACTGAGCAGGGCTGGGGAATAATGGCAGAGTTCTGATTTTCTCAGCAGGACAACCTGCTGGGGAAACAAAGCAGGTCTGTTTCAGCTTTAGCTGCTGGGCAGCTCACCTTGGCGGCCTGGAGATGTATGACAGTGGTCTGGTTCCATGCCTCGTGCCTGTCAGCCCCAGATTGCATGAGAGTCTGTAAGTGATGCACTGAGTCCTTTATGAGCCTAAAGGCCAAAGAAAAAAGGTTCTGTTTTTGAACAAGTGGGGAAGAGATGGGTGGCATTTGGTCCCAGGCTGCCTGGGGTCCCACAGAAGTAGAAATAATACCAATTTATTGACCATTTGTTTGTGTTACAAACCTAAATACTTGGTATACGTTATCTCTTTAACCCTTTTAAGAGTAGGCATTCCCAATTTGCAGTGGGGAACACTGAGTGCTAGAGAGGCTAATTAACTGGTCCAGCGTCACGTAGCTAGTAAGGAGTGGAGCTGTTCTTAACCTCCCGGCTGTAAAGCCTCAGGGCCCGGGCACCATCCCTTCTTTCTAATGCAGACTCCATCCTGATACCAGTGTTTTCAGGCCATTCAACTGGCTGACTTCCTATGGCTGAGCAAGGAGAGTGGTTTTCCTCTAAAGGCTGGTGAAGCCTGTCAGTCACCCAGTCTGCTCTAAGTTCTACCAAAGGGACCTTAAAAGAAAAGAAAAGAGGAGAAAAGAAAACCAATCCTTGTTCTCCAAACCACGAAATTGGTAATTTGCCATTTAGTTAACCTTTATTCTTTTATTTTCTATTCCCTGCCCATCCACTCATGACCCTTGGAATTTGTATGCAAAACAAACTGTTTATTAAGCAATACTTATTTTGCTTTGTCATGGGATAGATAAGCACATGTCACATTGAGTTCTAAGCAAAAAGCAATATATAGCCGTCCCTTGGTATCTCCGGGGGGATTGGTTCCAGGACCACCACAGATACCAAAATCGAGATACTCAAGTCCCGGTATAAAAGTGTAGTATGGTCACCCTCCTTATTCACAGGTTCTGCATCTGGGGATATGGAAGACCAACTTTGATGGCATTTTAATTACCCTGAGCAGCCTTATTTTGCCTGCCCCACTGCTCCAACTGAAATGTTAGTTCTGTGAGACCTGGGTTTTTTTTTTTTTTCCCTACATTGGGTCTTCGTTGCTGCGTGCAGGCTTTCTCTAGTTGCAGCGAGCGGGGGCTACTCTTCGTTGCGGTGTGTGGGCTTCTCATTGCGGGGGCTTCTCTTGTGGAGCACAGGCTCTAGGCTCACGGGCTTCAGTAATTGCAACATGCAGGCTCAGTAGTTATGGCTTGTGGGGTGTAGAGCGCAGGCTCAGTAGTTGTGGCGCACGGGCTTAGTTGCTCCGTGGCATGTGGGATCTTTCGGACCAGGGCTCGAACCCATATCCCCTGCATTGGCAGGCGGATTCTTAACCACTGTGCTACCAGGGAAGCCCGAGGCCTGGGCTTTTTGTCGGACTGGTTTACTGATAGATCCCTAGTGACTGGAACAGTGCCTGGCAGATTATAGGTACTAAATATTTGTGGAAAAACATAAATGAATGTCCCAAGTTGCTTGTGATCTTGAAATGACTATTAACCATCCCTGAGACCACAGGTTAGGATATAAGACCTCATATTATATAATGAAACTGTTTTGTCCAGGTTTTTTTGGTGTTTTAGTTGGGGAGGGGCTCAGAAGGTTTCCTTTCTAGGTAGCTAAATCTCTCCACCTTTTCCATGATGGTGTCTTTATTCCCAGCCCCCTGGCATGTTTGGACATTCCTGACATACAGTAAGTGTCCAACGATATTTGCTGGATGACAGAATGGAGGAGTCCTTGGTCTTGTCTGTGTTACCTGGAGCCTACTAGACCCTGGAAATAAACATATACTATCCCTTGTTATAGTCACATTTTTGAAAATTATTTTTAGATTGTGGGATATTTCGAATATGTGAGCACAGTTGTCCCTCTGTATCCACAGTTTCCACATCTTCAAATTCAACCAAGAATCAAATATTTGGGGAAAAAACATTCTAGAAAGTTCCAAAAAGCAAAAATAGAATTTGCTGCATGCTGGCAACTATTTACATATCATTTACATTGTATTTACACCTATTTACATAATATTTACATTTTATTGGGTATTATAAGTAACCTAGAGATGATTTAAAGTAAATGGGAGGATGTGCATATGCAAATACCTACACATAATATTGCAAATCTGCAAATATCCCATTTTATAGAAGGGACTTGTGCATCCTGGGAGTTTGGTATCCGCAGGGGTCCTGGAACCAATCCCCTGCAGATACAGATGGATGACTGTATTGCTTTATTTATTAGTATTTATGTACCAATACATATGTAGTGTTTACATATGGGTACATTCTTTGTAATGCAAACCACAGTAAGAACCTAAGATTTTAAAAATTCCTTGCACTGGCTAGAGGGGTGATGTCTTCCTACTATCTTGACCAGGATGGGGAAGTGATAGTGGTCCATGGCTGACAGGTGAATTCTCCTTTCTGCCCCTGGTGGCAGGAGCTGAGAGGACTGAGGAGGTTGGGGAAGGGGGTGGTTTTTGGAAGAGTATCCTAGAATGTCCACCCAGCCAGTCCCAAAGGCCTTAGTGGGAAGGAGCCTGCCCCCAGGTGGGATGGTTGATTTCGTAGCTTGGCTTACCTGGCTGCCACGTGTGCCCAGGCCGTGGTGTAAAGCTCTGGGTGGAGGAAGTCGGCTACATTTTGGGCTGGGCACTTGGCCAGGTCAGGTGCAGTCAGGTATGCAACAGACTGAGGGAGAGACCTCTGTGATGTGGACTCCTGAGCCTGCAGGTAGCTCTTCACCAGAAACCTAGGGGGCAGGGGTACCAGCAGGTGAGAGGGTGGGGAGCCCTGAGGGACAGCCCAGCACCCCTCTCCCAGCGTCATGCACTCTTATGCTCCCCGTGGGAGAACCAGGGCCACCCACTTTCTTTCCCAGGTCCCTACTGATAGCTACTCTTCACTCAAAAGCCGAAATGCATCCCGAGGCTGTAGCTTCTTTCACAGTGAAATGGAGCTGGAGCTGTAGACTGCAGACATTCTCAGACCATGAACATAAATTCTTTTGATACCTGAACAAACAGAATCTTTTCTCTTGGTTAAGATCTTATGATTCGGGGATTTATGATGAATTGTACAGTGATGGCGGAAATTAAATTTTCTTAGCTCATAAAAGGATAGATGCAAGATTGCAAGCATGTATAGGAGAACTACAGGTGACTCTTAGCTTCTTCCTTGTGCTAATCCAATGGTTAGCGGCTCTGGGTCAGACAACCCTGGATTCCTCTGCAGCTCCACACAGACCTGTGTGACTTCACTTCCCTCAGCCTCAGTGCCTCCATCTCTAGATGAGGATGGGGTCACCTGAGAGGGGGTTTGGGAAAACTGAATGAGATAATATTTGCAGAGCACTTGGCACAGTGCGGGGCATAGAGTATCTAATACATGATTTTGTATTCCTTTTGTAATTTGAAAAGAAAAAACAAATGTATGTTTAAAATTTTTTAAAAGAAATGTTACATAGCCAATTTGCCAGCAGGTCCTTTCTCCCTGCCTGGAGAAGTATTTGGCCTGTCTACTCACCTGAGATAGACGCACGTGAAAGACCTGGTCAACCACGAGACCCACAGACATAAGAGAGAGAGAAAGAAACCGCCTGTTGCGGGGAGGGGGAATCAGCCATTCCTCTCTGCCTTTCAGGTTGGAGCCTCCTGGTGCAGACCCTGTGCTGAACCTGGGGATGCTACAGTGAACAAGGCCGGCAGACTCCCTGCCCTCAAGGCCCGTCACACAAAAAGAGACGCAGTGGGGGGGGCATCTGAAGGAAGTGTCATTTTAGCTGAGACCTGAAGATGAGGAGGAGCCTGGCGGTGGAGGGGATTAGGGGGAGGGAAGTGAGTGTGCAGGCCCCGAAGAAGAAACGTGTGGCTGGCAAAGTGAGCAGAGGAGAAGGTTGTGAGAGGATGGAGGGGAGGCAGGGGCCATGTCTTAAGGTCCTTGCAGGCCACAGTGTGGACTGTGGCATTTTCCTGTGAGCTGTGGGAAGCCATTGAAGAATTTCAAGCAAGGGAAAGATGTGATCTTCTTTAGGCTTCATAAAAATCCCCCTGGCTGCCTGTGGAGGAAGGACGGAAGTGGGGCAGGGTGGAAGCAGCCGACCAGTGAGGAGATTGATGTTGTCCCGGTGGAGGGCGTGGCAGCCTGGCTGGGAGCTGCATGAGTCTGGGGAGAAGTGGATGGATTGGAGACATAATGTGGAAGTTGGACAGTCTGCAGACGGTGGTCCCCAAAGTCTGCTCCCTCTGTGGGCATCAGATGGTGCTTCAACCCAGGCAGAAGCTTGGTGGGGTCCCTGAGGGTTGGACAGAGACGTGGGCCTTACCTGGCTGTCTGCAGGTAGAGCACCGTGTTCTCACCCTCGTAGGTGCAGGAGGCTGTCACTCTGGTGACCAGGGAGGGCAGGCCGCTCAGCTTCGAGTAGCCATGTCCACCACAGGCCCTGCGGCACAGCTCAGCCCCCTGGACGCAGAAGTCCGACACCAAGGCCTTCATACCTGCACTCAGTGCGTGAAGCTGCAAAAACAGGAAGGGGGTCAGGTGGCCTAAGGGGCCCTTCAGTTACAGCCATGCTTACCACTCATGGAGCACCCACTCTATGCTGAGAACAGCTCTGTGAGATAAGAACTGTTTCCTCAGCTCACAACTTTATGAATGAGAAGACTGAGACTCGGGTTACGTGACTCACCCAAGGTCATAAAAAGAGGCAGTGTTGCTGTAGGGGCAATAAGAACGAAGGAAAACTGTCTAGACCAGTGTCTCCAGGATCTTGGGAAGAGAGTGCTTCTAGGATTGGTCTCACCATTATCCAGGAGCTGTGGATTTTGCTGGCAGGCAGAGGTTTTGGAGGGCTTGTCTGTGAGGATGCAGGTCCACCATCAGCCCGCTGCTCTGGGTTGTAGGAGGGGCTGCCAGGCAGCCAACCTGGTTTGAGTTTTTGGTTCTTGAAAGCCCTTACCCATCTTTCACACTTTCAAGTCCTTGGGAGGAAGGGTCATGTCCCTTAACCTCTCTGTGCTTCACTTTCCTCATCTGTAAAATGGGTATACAAATGGTGCCTGCGGTATAGTTGGAAGGATTACTGAAGCAATGCTTACAAAGCACAGAGCCTGGACAGACCAAATCTGTATGTAAGGCCACCGTCCTTTATCTGAGAATCTTGGGTCCAGATGCGTTTTGTAATCAGATATGTTTTGAATTTTAGAAAGGTAAAGCAGCGCATTTAAGGTAGATTATATATAATACCCCTAGAGGAGTCCAGGGAGACCCTAGTGATCCAATGTATTAATATTTTCGGCTGCAAAATGTATTCACACTCAGTGGGATAAATCAGGTTAATTCAGGTCAAACTGTGCCACCAAATGAGTTCTAAATGACTTTTGGTTTTCAGAGCTTTCCAGGTTTCAGAGACACACCAGGGGGGACTTCCCTGGTGGCACAGTGGTTAAGAATCTGCCTGCCAGTGCAGGGGACACGGGTTCGATCCCTGGTCTGGGAAGATCCCACATGCTGCAGAGCAGCTAAACCTGTGTGCCACAACTACTGAGCCTGTGCTCTAGAGCCCGCGAGCCACAACTACTGAGCCTGTGTACCACAACTACTGAAACCCGTGCCTAGAGCCCCTGCTCCGCAACAAGAGAAGAGAGATTGGTTCAAGATGGTGAAGTAGGAGGACATGAGCTCACTTCTTCTTGCGGGAGCACTGGAATCACAACTAATTGCTGAACAGTCATCGACAGAAAGACACTGGAACTCACCAAAAAAGTTCAAGATACCCCACATCCAAAGACAAAGGAGAAGCTGCAATGAGACAATAGAAGGGGCGCAATCACAATAAAATCAAATCCCATAACCGCTGGGTGGGTGAGTCACAAGCTGGAGAATACTTATACCACAGAAGTCCACCCACTGGAGTGAAGGTTCTGAGCCCCACGTCAGGCTTCCCAACCTGGGGGTCTGGCAAAGGACCTGGGAGGAGGAATTCCCAGAGAATCAGACTTTGAAGGCTAGTGGGATTTGATTGCAGGACTTCAACAGGACTGGGGGAAACAGAGCCTCCACTCTTGGAGGGCACACACAAAGTAGTGTGCACATCAGGACCCAGGGGAAGGAGCAATGACCCCATAGGAGACTGAACCAGACCTACCTACTAGTGTTGGAGGGTCTCCTGCAGAGGCGGGGGTTGGCTTGGCTCACTGCGGGGACAAGGACACTGGAAGCAGAAGATCTGGGAAGTACTCCTTGGCATGAGCCCTCCCGGAGTCTGCCATTAGCCCCACCAAAGAGCCTGTAGCCTCCAGTGCTGGATCATCTCAGGCCAAACACCCAACAGGGAGTGAACTCAGCCCCACCCATCAGCAGACAAGCAGATTAAAGTTTTACTGAGCTCTGCCCACCAGAGCAACACCCAGCTCTACCACCACCAGTCCGTCCCATCAAGAAGCTTGCATAAGCCTCTTAGATAGCCTCATCCACCAGAGGGCAGACAGCAGAAGCAAGAAGAACTACAGTCCTGCAGCCTGTGGAAAGAAAACCACATTCACAGAAAGATAGAGGACTATGTACCAGATGAAGGAACAAGATAAAACCCCAGAAAAACAACTAAATGAAGTGGAGACAGGCAGCCTTCCAGAAAAAGAATTCAGAATAATGATAGTGAATATGATCCAGGACCTCGGAAAAAGAATGGAGGCAAAGATTGAGAAGATGCAAGAAATGTTTAACAAAGACCTAGAATAATTAAAGAACAAACAAACACAGATGAACAATTCAATAACTGAAATGAAAACTACACTAGAAGGAATCAATAGCAGAATAACGGAGGCAGAAGAACAGATAAGTGACCTGGGAGACAGAATGGTAGAATTCACTGCCACAGAACAGAATAAAGAAGAAAGAATGAAAAGAAATGAAGACAGCCTAAGAGACCTCTGGGACAACATTAAACACACCACATTCGCATTTTAGGGGTCCCAGAAGGAGAAGAGAGAGAGAAAGGACTAGAGAAAATATTTGAAGAGATTATAGTCGAAAACTTCCCAAACATGGGAAAGGAAATAGCCACCCAAATCCAGGAAGTGCAGAGTCCCAGGCAGGATAAACCCAAGGAGAAACACACCAAGACACACAGTAATCAAATTTACAAAAATTAAAGACAAAAATTATTAAAAGCAACAAGGGAAAAATGACAAATAACATACAAGGGAACTCCCATAAGGTTAAAAGCTGATTTCTCAGCAGAAACTCTACAAGCCAGAAGGGAGTGACACGATATACTTAAAGTGATGAAAGGGAAGAATGTACAACCAAGGTTACTCTACCAGGCAAGGATCTCATTCAGATTCGATAGAGAAATCAAAAGCTTTACAGACAAGCAAAAGCTAAGAGAATTCAGCACCACCAAACCAGCTCTACAACAAATGCTAAAGGAACGTCTCTAAGTGGAAAACACAAAAGAAGAAAAGGACCTACAAAAACAAGCCCAAAACAATTAAGAAAATGGTAATAGGAACATACATATCGATAATTAACTTAAATGTAAATGGATTAAATGTTCCAACCAAAAGGCATAAGCTTGCTGAATAGATACAAAAACAAAACCCATATATATATATATATATATATATATACATACATATATATGCTGTCTACAAGAGACCCACTTCAGACCTAGGGACACATACAGACTGAAAGTGAGAGAATGGAAAAAGGTATTCCATGCAAATGGAAATCAAAAGAAAACTGGAGTAGCAATACTCATTTCAGATAAAATAGACTTTAAAGTAAAGAATGTTACAAGAGACAAGGAAGGACACTACATAATGATCAAGGGATCAATCCAAGAAGGAGATATAACAATTATAAATATATATGCACCCAACATAGGAGCACCTCAATACATAAGGCAACTGCTAACAGCTATAAAAGAGGAAATCGACAGTAACACAGTCATCGTGGGGGACTTTAACACCTCACTTACACCAATGGACAGATCATCCAGACAGAAAATTAATAAGAAAATACAAGCTTTAAATGACACAGTACACCAGATAGATTTAATTGATATTTATGGGACATTTCATCCAAAAACAACAGATTACACTTTCTTCTCAAGTGCACATGGAACATTCTCCAGGATAGATCACATCTTGGGTCACACATCAAGCCTCGGTAAGTTTAAGAAAATTGAAATCATATCAAGCATCTTTTCTGACCACAGCACTATGAGATTAGAAATAAATTACAGGGAAAAAAAACCATAAAAAACACAAACACGTGGAAGCTAAACAATACATTACTAAATAACCAAGAGATCACTGAAGAAATCAAAGAGGAAATCAAAAAATACCTAGAGACAAATGACAACAAAAGCAGGATGATCCAAAACCTGTGGGATGCAGCAAAAGCAGTTCTAAGAGGGAAGTTTATAGCAATACAATCCTACCTCAAGAAACCAGAAAAATCTCAAATAAACAATCTAACCTTACACGTAAAGGAACTGGAGAAAGAAGAACAAAGAAAACCCAAAGTTAGTAGAAGGAAAGAAACATAAAGATAAGAGCAGAAATAAATGAAATAGAAATAAGGAAAACAATAGCAAAGACCAATAAAACTAAAAGCTGGTTCTTTGAGAAGATAAAATTGATAAACCTTTAGCCAGACTCATCAAGAAAAAGAGGGAGAGGACTCAAATCAGTAAAATTAGAAATGAAGAAGGAGAAGTTACAACAGACACCGCAGCACATCAAAAGAGACTACTACAAGCAACTCTATGCCAATAAAATGGACAACCTGGAAGAAATGGACAAATTCCTAGAAGGTATAACCTTCTAAGACTGAACCAGGAAGAAATAGAAAATAACAGACCAATCACAAGTAACGCAATTGAAACTGTGATTAAAAATCTTCCAACAAGCAAAAGTCCAGGACCAGATGGCTTCATAGGTGAATTCTATCAAACATTTAGAGAAGAGCTAACACCCATCCTTCTCAAACTCTTTCCAAAAACTTGCAGAGGAAGGAACACTCCCAAACTCATTCTATGAGTCCCCCATCACCCTGATACCAAAACCAGACAAAGATTCTACAAAAAAAGAAAATTAGAGACCAATATCACTGATGAATATAGATGCAAAAATCCTCAACAAAATACTAGCAAACAGAATCCAACAACACATTAAAAAGATCATACACCGTGATCAAGTGGGATTTATCCCAGGGATGCAAGGATTCCTCAATATACACAAATCAATCAATGTGATACACCATATTAACAAATTGAAAAATAGCAACTGTATGATCATCTCAATAGATGGAGAAGAAGCTTTTGACAAAAGTCAGCACCCATTTATGATAAAAACTCTCCAGAAAGTGGGCATAGAGGGAACCTACCTCCACATAATAAAGACCATATATGACAAACCCACAGCAGGAATCATTCTCAGTGGTGAAAAACTGAAAGCATTTCCTTTAAGATCAGGAACAAGACAAGAATGTCCACTCTCGCCACTATTATTCAACATAGTTTTGGAAATTTTAGCCACGGCAATCAGAGAAGAAGAAATAAATGGAATCCAAATTGGAAAAGAAGAAGTAAAACTGGATCACTGTTTGCATATGACATGATACTATACATAGAGAATCCTAAAGATGCCACCAGAAAACTACTAGACCTAATCAATGAATTTGGTAAAGTTGCAGGATACAAAATTAATGCACAGAAATCTCTTGCATTCCTATACACTAAACAATGAAGGATCAGCAAGAGAAATTAAGGAAACAATCCCATTCACCATTGTAACAGAAAGAATAAAATACCTAGGAATAAACCTATCTAAGGAGGTAAAAGACCTGTACTCAGAAAACTATAAGACACTGAGGAAAGAAATCAAAGATGATAGCAACAGATGGAGAGATATACCATGTTCTTGGTTTGGAAGAATCAATATTGTGAAAATGACTATACTACCCAAAGCAATCTACAGATTCAATGCAATCCCTATCAAATTATCAGTGGCATTTTTTACAGAGCTAGAACAAAAAATCTTAAAATTTGTATGAAGACACAAAAGACCCCGAATAGCCAAAGCAATCTTGAGGGAAAAAAACAGAGCTGGGGGAATCAGACTCCCTGACTTCATACTATACAACAGAGCTACAGTAATCAAGACAATACAGTACTGGCACAAAAACAGAAATATAGATCAATGGAACAGGATAGAAAGCCCAGCGATAAAACCACACTCCTATGGTCAGCTAATCTATGAAAAAGGAGGCAAGGATATACAATGGAGAAAAGACAGTGTCTTCAATAAGTGGTGCTGGGAAAACTGGACAGCTACATGTAAAAGAATGAAATTAGAGCACTCCATAACACCACACACAAAAATAAACTCAAAATGGATTAAAGACCTAAATGTAAGGCCAGACATTATAAAACTCTTAGAGGAAAACATAGGCAGAACACTCTTGACATAAATCACAGCAAGATCTTTTTTGACCCACCTCCTAGAGTAATGGAAATATAAACAAAAATAAACAAATGGGACCTAATGAAACTTCAAAGCTTTTGCACAGCAAAGGAAACTATAAACAAGATGAAAAGACAACCCTCAGAATGGGAGAAAATATTTGCACATGAATCAACAAAGGATTAATCTCCAAAATATATAAACAGCTCATGCAGCTCAATATTAAAAAAGCAGACAACCCAATCAAAAAATGAGCAGAAGACCTAAATAGTCATTTCTCCAGAGAAGACATGCAGATGGCCAAGAGGCACATGAAAAGCTGCTCAACATCACTAATGATTAGAGAAATGCAAATCAAAACTACAATGAGGTATCACCTCATACCAGTTAGAATGGGCATCATCAGAAAATCTACAAACAACAAATGCTGCAGAGGGTGTGGAGAAAAGGGAACCCTCCTGCACTGTTGGTGGGAATGTAAATTGATACAGCCACTACGGAGAATAGTATGGAGGTTCCTTAAAAAACTAAAAGAATTACCATATGACCCAGCAATCCCACTACTGGGCATACCTAGAGAAAACCATAATTCAAAAAGACAAATGCATTCTAATGTACATTGCAGCACTATTTACAATAGCCAGGACATGGAACCAACATAAATGCCCATTGTCAGACGAATGGATAAAGAAGATGTGGTACATATATACAATGGAGTATTACTCAGCCATAAAAAGGAACGAAATTGGGTCATTTGTAGGGATGTGAATGGACCTAGAGACTGTCATATGGAGTGAAGTAAATCAGAAGGAGAAAAACAAATATCGTATATGAACGCATATATGTGGCATCTAGAAAAATGGTACAGATGCACCCATTTGCAAGGCAGAAATAGAGACACAGATGTAGAGAACAAACACCAAGGGGGGAAAGCGGGGTTGGGGGTGGTGTGATGAATTGGGAGATTGGGATTGACATGTATACACTAATATATATCAAATAGATAACTAATAAGAACCTGCTGTATAAAAAAAAATAAAATTAAAAAAAAAATAGAGAAGCCACTGCAATGAGAATCCCACGTACCGCAAGGAAGAGTAGCCCCCACTCGCCGCAACTAGAGAAAGCCTGCGCGCAGCAACGAAGACCCAACACAGCCAAAAATAAATAAATAAATAAATTTATAAAAACAAAAAAACACACTAGGGATTGTGCACCTGTGTTCTATACACTATCTGCGATCATTTCCTCTAACATGTTTGGAGCTTCCTGGGGGCCAGTTGTAGGTGGATTTATATGTCAGGGTACAGTTCACCTGGGATGTTGGAAGTCTGCAGAGGGAGAAAGTGGAAAGAGCCCATGGGGGCAGGATTGGGGCTGCTTCCCAGTGGGAGGACCATTTCAGCCATGGTCCCAGCTCCTGCCCCCCAGAGAAAGCAGGTATACCTCAGGCAGGAGTCTGAAGTCTCTGTCCAAAATGGAACTGTAGGAGCGATGGAAGAATTCCAAGAGGCTCTTTGCCACGAAGTGGAATGCATAGGCCTTGGCCAGCGGAGGAAAGAGTTTCTGCTGCTGCGTCTGGTAGTCCAGGACTTTTGCCTCTGGGTCACTGAGGGGAAGAAAAGCAGAAGATTTGCTACCTGCCACATCCATCTTCCCATATTCCCAGTGCCATAAAATCCTTAAAAACGGACAGTTTTTTATAGCTCACTGCAAAATTTGACATAGACTGACGTGACGCTAGTAATAATCTTAAAATTCCATCTAACATGAATATCCACACATTTCACTGTAGAAATATTAACATGTCCGCTTATGGGTGCTGCCCGTTGTGGAGGTTTACAGTATACGCACCGTATTAACCTGCTAAAAATCTGGAAAGTTCTGAATTCCAGCAGATCTGGCTTCAAGGATTTTGGGTGAGGGGTTGTGGCCCTGAAGCCCTGATTATTTGAACCTTGACCTTTCACTGTCCAGGTGCATGTGCTGTGTGCTGGGAAATATGTGGAACCTAATTGATAACTGAGGATGTGAACTTGGGTTGGATGGAATTCCGAGGTAGGATTGCACCCGCCTTGTCCGTTGCTGTGTTCTCAGTGCTGGAGACTCTGTTCAGCATTAGGGGCCTTCGGTAACTATTAGTGGATTGAAACAGAGTGTGAATGTGAGACGCCTCCCGTGGCTGATGGGGAGAAACCTGGTGTCTCTTCTCTGGGCCAGCAGCCCCTCACCTGGACGTGTACTATTATAACCATCCCAGTCTTATGCAACCCAGAAGACTGGGCTCCGACAGGATGCCATTGGCAATACCTCCTTCCCAACTCCCCTGTCCCCCAGAGAAGACTCCCTCAGCCCGGGATTCTGAAGCCAGGCTGGCTGAGGGTGATTTGGGTTTGCCAGTAAAGGACCCTGGCCTGAGGGCCTGGCATGCTTCACTGCATTTCAGCCCTAGCACCACCCTGGAAGAGCGTTTTTGTCACGCCCATTTAGTTGACGAGGAAGCTGAGGGACAAAGGGGTGGGGTGGCTAATCTAAGCTCCCGGAAGTGGCGGAGCTGAGGGTGGCACCGGGTCTGCCTGGTGTTCGACCCTCAGCCCGTCTTGCGTTAGAGAACTCTGGATCCTTGAGCCCATGGTGTGGAATACCACCGGCCTCTTGAGCCAGACATCCTCAAGTTCTAGTCCTGGTAACCTCACTCTTTCCTTTACAAGTGAGAAGATAGGCCCAGAGAGGGCAAAGGACTTGCCAAGGGGCGCTTACTATAGTTGGGGCGAGAACTGCCAGGTTAAAGCTCGTCTCTGCTCCATGAGTTCGGTCAGTTATGCTGTGTCCAGCCCCACCCTCTCTCCCTGTGCTCATGCTGCGGCCCCATATGCCCAGGCTCCAGTTTGCTGCATGCTGGGTATGTGCCCATTCGGGACATATGTATCCTAAAAAATTATTTGTTTACCTAAAATTGAAATGTAACTGGCAGTCCTGTATTTTTATTTGCTGAATCTGATAACCTTGTATGTGTGTGTGTGCACATGCATGTGTACACATACTCACATCAAAGCAGAGGGTACAGTGAGCCCTTTGGTGCCATGGAGTAGAGCTATTAGCCAGACAGAACCACATACAACAAAATGGGTGCAGACGTGGACGTACCATGGTCAGATGTTGGCAGTCACAACCAGACAGAATCAACTGTAGCCAAATACAGCCTGACGTGACAGCTGGGTTTTTCCAGACACAGTCACTCACTGGGCAGACAGAACAATCTCGGGAGCCCCATTCACCCACAGCTTGGTGCCCAGCCGATCTAGATACACTCAGCCAGTCACAGCCATACCCAACTGGGAAACAGTCCGAGTTTGTTGGACAGACTGAGTCAGATCTGGTGGTACAGGGCCAGAGACACAAGATCACACAGAGCCTGATGGGGCCAGACACTGACAGACATAGGTTGGGCCAGCTGGTCAGCCTGGATTAGAGAGAGCCAGATAGAGACCCCACAGACCCGATGGGCCAGGTCCAGGCGGATGTGTGTGCAAGGGGGGGGTAACGTGTGCTCCCAGCACCCCACTCTGGCAGAGGGTTGGTGTCAGTGGGTAGGCACTGTGGGATCGAGGTAGCCCGGGCTGCGGTGGCTCCTCTGGGCGCCGCTTGCCTGGGCCGGAGCCGGGATTGGTGGCGTATGACGGAGTAGCGGATGGCAATGACACAGGCCTTCTGCAGCAGTGGTATGACCTCGTTTGACAGCATGTCCACCCGCACCACCACCATGCTGAGGTAGTTGCTCTTTGCTGTTCCGAGCTTGATGTAGGTACCATCTGGCAAGACCTGGTAGACCGAGGACAGGCAGTGGGTCTGAGCCAGGGCTCCCCAGCCTTCCCCACACCCAGAACTGTGGCCCTCCATGCCCTGAAAGCACCACAGTCCTCAAACTGCTCACCCGGGATAGACACAGCCAGCCGCCAGCCAGAATGTGCTGGTGTGGCCACGCTGATTCTTAAAACTGAAACGCTCCTGTGCTTGTTGCTACATAGCCGCTGCCCAAGTGTCTTGGTTCACTGCTCCTCTCCTGTGACACCCCAGGCCTCCCCACAATCCACAGCTCCCCACACTTCCGTGGCAACGCCTGGCAAAATGGAGAGCTCCAGAACTTGCTCCAGCACTTGGCTGCTGGCTGTGCAGTGACTGGCTGTGTCCAGGCTGCGCTGTAGGTCGATATGCACATCGTCCTCAGCCCGTTCCTCTTTTCCTCAGATTGCCTTGCCACCCTACCCCACGATTGCGCTGCCACCCCACGAGGTGAGCATTTACCCATGAGAACTCTGAGGTTCAGAGAGGCCACGTGACTGGCCCCAAATCATAAAGCTCCTAAGCTGGGGTTTTACTCAGGTCTGTGGGACAGCAGAGCCTCTCTGGGAGGAGTGCCCCAAACTCAGCTCTGTAGAGAAGGGCCCGGAGGCAGCAGCAGTCTACAGGGTGCCTCTGTCCCCTCTCCAGGCAGTGCAGGCTTGCAGCCTCCCCAGGACCCCACCTGTGCAAAGCGGCTCAGCATGTTCTCCCTGGGGATGCGCACATGGTCCAGTTGCAGGAAGCCATTATCCGAGTGGTCAAAGTCCATCTTGGGCCCAATGTCTCCAACGGTGATTCCTAGGAGGAGACAGAGGTAGGAATGTCCATCATTTGAGTGCTTGTGTGTTAGGTACCAACACCCACATTCCAGCTCATCTGAGCCTGCCAGCAGCCTGTGACATTGGGGTTATCATACCTGTTTGCAGGGGACCAAGCTGAGGTCAGGTGCTGGGCCTTGCTCATAGTCATCAAGCCAGTTAGCGCCAGGCCTGTACAACTGGACCCCTCCCTGCCCAAGGGAGACATGCCCCAGTTTCTCCCATGGACCTCTGGGGCCCCCAGGACAGGGAGTCCTGGTGGGGTCTCCTGGCAGGGGTCCTGGAGGAAGCAGCATGAGCTTACCGGGCAGTGGACTGTGGTCCTCAAGACTCCGGATGGGCACAATAAAGGCATGCATGCCCTGCTGGGCTCCTGAGCAGATCAGCTGGGCCTGGACCAGGGCATGGGTGGCCGACCGTCCCACTGAGGGTAGAGAGGTGAGAAGCCCAGCGTGATCCCTGATGTACAGAGCAGGCAGGCTAACCCTCCCCATCAGGACCCTGGGTGTGGGCCTAGTCTGTGAGGACCAGTGTGGTGGTACGGGAAGGGCAGGACACTCCGTGAGGCTGGAATGGGGCTTTGTTTGAACTACCTTGGAGGGTGTGGGTCAGGGGAGGAGGCACGAGGAGCCTGGAGGACAGAGGGTGTTTTCTAGCAGAGCCGCACAGGACAGGGTATGCAAGGCAGAGGGAACAGCCTGCTCAGAAGCTTGAGGACTGGACTGGCTTGGTGGGGCCAGGCAGCCAAGGGGTGCTTGGTCAGGATACCCCTTGATTCATAAGGCCTTTACTCGTCCTTGGAAATGACTGGAACCATCCAGAGAGCTTTAATGTGAGTGTCTGGCTCTAGAATGCACTGGGTTGGTGGCTGGAGATACGGGGGGGTTCTGTCTAAATGTCAGGTTTGTATAGGAACCACCCTACAATACACAGGCAGGATCCCCACGGGCTAGGGAAGGCTCAAGGAGGCTGATGGAGATCTTGAGGGGACGAAAGCCCTCTATGCCCTCTGGCCGCTCTTTCTTCCAAAGGCAAAGCTTGACAAAGGCTATGGATTTTAATGAAATCACCCCAAATGGAGCAATCTGGAAAAGCTCTGCATCTTTTAAAACTTGGTCTTACTACAGTCTTCTGACTGAAGTGTGTGCTCTTGAGTCATTTCCTTTGGAATCAAGGAGACAGGATTTTTATATCGTAGCTGCCGGGGTACGTATGTCAGGATCTGTGGTCAGAACATGGGTCCCAAGTCATAGGGAGATGTGCGCATTGCTGCCCACCCTAGCAGATGGGCACCTTTGAGACCTCAAAAAGTCCCTGTTCACAAGGAGGGGGAACTACCCCCAAAGAGCCAAACAAACCTAGCAGCGACTTGCAAAGGGCACTGTGAAATAAACAAGCTTGCTTTTTTTCTGTCCTCAAACTTCTTAATGACTCTCTCTGCCATCAGCCTAATAATATGAATACAGACAACTAGCATTTACCAAAATCCAGGTGGTACCGCCCCTGTGCTGGTGCTTTGCGGTCTTTGCAGGACAGGTAAGCTGAAGTCCCATTTTCCAGAAAAGGAAACTGAGGCTCAGAGAACGGAGTGATGTGCTCAAGGTCACTGGCCTGAACGGGGCAGAGCCCAGGTTTGAACCCTGCCTGATTTCAAAAGCTGGTTTCTTTTTTTCTGCAGTTTTGTCAGTGGTCATTGATCACCACGCCCCACCTCCCCGCCCCGAGCATCGCTCTCTTATTTCTCTGGCCTGTCTCTCCACTTCTCTCTCCTTCTCTCAGTCTTTCTCCCTCTCTGCTTGTCTCTCACCTCTCCCTCTCTCTCTTTCTGCTTTAGCTGGACTCCTCACACTTGTTGTATTTTTTTTTTCCCATATAAGTGTTCACCTAATGGGTCCCCAAGTGCCACAGATGTATCCTCAGAGATGTATTCTCAAATCAGAGGAAGAGGGCCCTGGTGGAACCCTGCTCCTTGGGGCTTGGCAAATCACTGAGACTCTGGGAAGCACGGTGGGTGCGGCCTGCACCTGGTGGCCACAGGGGGTTGTGTGGCACCGGTGGCTTGATTGGCGCTGGGGGTGGGCCTGAGCCCTTCTGAGTGTCTGGAGCAGGGGAAGGGAGGGACGTTTTTCGCATTGACTGTACCCTGTGTGCTGGCTGGTGGCAAGCTTAATCATTAACTTGGGAGATGAGAGGAACAGGGGCTGTGGCGAGTGCTGTGTGTGGAGGGCGTGGGGGCAGTGTGCATGTGAGAGAGACCTTGACCGTCAGCCCCCAAAGTTTGGGTTAGTTTCCTCAGCTATTTCAAAGTTCCCTTGGCGGCCTCTCAGCCACTCACTGATGAAATTCTTCGTATCCCTCCTGTTTTACTACGTAAGAACCTGGGGCTCAGGGAGACGTATTCACTTGCCCAAGGTCACCAGCCTAGAACAGGGAATCAACCTGAGGTCTGTTGAACATCAAAGTCAGTGCTATTCTGCGGTCCAGCTTTGTTCTCCTTGGGGGCAGATGGCGGGGGTTGGGGGGATGAAGGGATACTATACTCACGGTCCCCAGGCCACCATTTGATGGCAGTCAGCGTGGGGCTGTGCACCACAAACTCCTGGGTGGCTGCATCGTAGGTGGCTTCAGTCTCCAGGCCCTGAAGATATGTCCCTGGGCATCAAGGAGGGCAGTTAGACGTTGGGCCATGGTTGGAATCTCACCGGGGGCGCAGTGTCTAGGTCGGCCTGGAGCCCCCAGGCATCAGTGCAGTATGGAGTCGGGGTAGCTCCCAGCTGTACTCACAGGCATTTCTCTCCTTTCACCGGTGGGCTCTTTGGGGGACACATGGCCAGCCCATGATAGGGAATGGTGGCTGACATTTCCAGAAGGAACACCTTGCCTCACCACTAGATCATACAACATGTTCATGTAAATTAGAAAAAATCACCCCCTCCTCAAGACCTTTAACTGCCACCTGCTGTAACATCTTCATATTAAATATATAAATCTATGACTAGTGAGATGTGAATGGGCCCTCTGGAACTGTGCAGTGCACACCTGTACACTGCACCCAGCAGCCCTGGCTCACCGTGCCCCAGTTCTGTCTGGGCGTATGTCGCAAGGATCTGTAACTTGTTGCAGAGTGGGTCCCACTTGGCAATCTGCTCCTCTGAGCCGAGGCTCCTGAGCGCTTTCTGGAAGACGAATTGTAACGCTAAGCCCAGATCTCCAGAAAGGCTTCTGCAGGGGAGAGACACAGTGGTTGAACAGCCCATTGGAGACAAGGGCCCCGGTACCCTCAGGCTGGCAGGGTGCAGGAGGGAAGGGGCACCTGATATCCTTCTTTCCCAACAGGTAGTACCTTTGTTGGGGAAAATAGCTCATGGGCTGGGTTTTCTGGGGGGTCCCAGGTGAATTCCTCTCTGGTGGGGTTGCCCTGGGTGTGAGCACCTGTTAGCGTAATATAATTCACGACTGTCTTCAGACCAGCCCAGGCGCTGTGCTAACATCTGGACGTGGAATTTCTTCTTAATGGCGGCTTCATAACGTTCATTCTGGGTCATGAAATAATTATCCTTCAGGCTAAGCTCTGGGTCACTGTGGATGATGCTTTCTGTCAGGGACAGAGAACAGAGAGAGGGCTTAGAGTCCTGGGTGAGGTTCCTGGTACCTTCAAATCTTCCCATCCACTTGCCTCATGGATGTGGAAAGGAAGTCAGACATTGCTGTCATTTTACAGATGCAATGAATGAGGTCCAGAGGTGGCAAAGTGACATGCCCAAGGTTACAAAGCTATGCAGTGGAAGAATAAGGACTCTATCCAGGTCTTCTGCTGCCTAGGACTCTTCTGTCCCTCAGAGAGGGGCTCAGGAAATATTGACACGTTAAAGATGCCTTCATAGTCCAAAAGAATGAATCTCTAATAGTGGAATTTTGAGAGCAGAGTTTGTTATTTGAAGGTGGGACTGCTATTGAGGGACTCTTCTTCCAAGAAAAGCGTATGGACACGAAGCAGACGCTCCATTCCCCAGCCTCCTCTTACCGACTTCCCTCCGGAGCGCAGTGTTCTGGGCCCCTCCGTCAAGGATGTTGGTGAGCTCCTCCACGCAGAAGGACTGCATGTGCCGCTCGCTCTCTATGTCAGGGTGCACTTGCCTGCTCCAGGTGTCCCCCATTGACACTCGGTGCACTGGACTGCCCATCCTAGCCCGGGTCTGCCTGGTGTCTGAGAAGAGAGACTTGTGGCCTGGGTGCTCTGAGCCTTGGGCTGTGCTAAGAACCTGTGTGCAGGAGGAACTGCCCAGGGCTGAGTGTCAGCTGAGGCCTGCTTTGGAGGAAAGCAACCTCCCTTAAATGCTCGTGTGCCACTCCACCCCCGCACTCTCCCCTGTGGCCCTTGGCTGTGTACCAGGCACTGTCCAGGACTGTATGCAGTAACTGCTCAGTAAACGGTAGTTCAGTGCGTTCTAGCCAAGATTTGGACAGGGTCTGATTGCCTGGGGGAAATTCTCACATAAAGTCAATGAAGGTCACGTGCGAAGAAATTCATGTTAGAGAGGTTAAGTGCATGGCCTCTAGCTGCACAGCTACTGCTGGCCAGGAGTTGGCCCGGGTCCGACCACAGAACACATGCTCTGTCCATGCTACAGCCGCACCTGGGGGACTAAGTCCCAGACTCATTTGGCCCATTTCCGTGAGCCTTGAGGGGTACTGCGGAGCTGAGGGGAGGAAGCTTGCCCCTTGCCTGTGCCATGTTCCCCCGGGACCCCTGTGTGTCCTCCACAGCCACGGTGGGCCCTGCGTCCTTCACAAGAAACCCTCAGCCTCTCAGAGCCCCTGTTTCCCCACAGCCCGGCGACCAGCAGGTATAGTCCTTTCTACTTCTCGAGTCTCTCAGATCCATGTGTTCCATCCATTCCCTTGGCTACCACCTCGGCCACCTTCGTCGCTCGCCTGGCCTCAGTGCCTCTCATCTGCTCTTCTGGCTGCCAGGGTGAGCTCCTAAACTGCGGTCACGTTGTTGACCTCGTACCCTGCTGGGAGTCTGGTGCTTGGGGCCGGCTGTTTGTTGTATGGAGTCCATGCCCTCTGCCATCTCACCACCTCTCGCCCCTTGCCCCATATCCACCCACTCCGCCTACCCAGGCCTCCTCTCCCTCTCCTCCTGCCCTTTGCCCCCGCTGTTTCCCCTGGTGTTCCTAGTGAGCCCCAGCCTCCAGGGCCACCTCCTCTAAGAAGCCTTCCCGATGGCAGTGCCCCCTGGGAGAACCGAGCAGCCCTTCGGTGCCCCCACTGGGTGCTATTAGAGTGGACAATAGGAGCAGTTCCTCATTCACTCGAATGTCCCTGTCCCAAGGCAGTGAGTGCCTGGGGAGGCCAGCTCTGCTTTTGTGGGGTCCCAAGAGCCTGCAGGTGGCCACTATTTTGATTCCTGTTCTTCTCCACCACGACCCTGCAGATACACTGCAGTCGTTACAAGTATTTTATAGAGAGGACAGGAGCCTCGGGAAGAGAGGAGACTTTGTAAGGTCACGTAGCCACACGTACGATAGCACATGGGATTCATCCACAGGCTTACAAACCGACACCCTTAAGTGGGCAACAGGGCTGTGGGATGCTGACAGAGGGCCTGGCACATTCAAGGAGCGCCCCCGTCAGCTGCCCCCTGGATCCCTGCAAGGCCTTCTAGCCTGTCTCCTCTCTCCCTGCGTCTTCCTCCTGCGCTCTAACTGCCGCTGCATCCTTGCTGTGCTCCAACACCCAGGCCTCGCCCCTCACCCTCCAGCCTCTAGAGGCCAGGGCTGTGTGCTTTGCCTGGAACACTCCTTCCCCAATGTGCCCATGGCTCCCTCACTACCTCTGCAAGTCCGTCATCAGTGCCACCTTCTCAGTGAGGCCCACCTGACCACCCTCTTTAGAATCCCGAGCCCCTTCCCCCAGCATTCCCAGTCTCCCTCACTCTGCTCTTTTCACTTATCGTAACATAATTTGCTCCTTTGCTATGTTTTTGTTTATTGCTGTCTCTACCTACTTAAAGGGAAACTCCAAGAGGGCCAGGATCTTTGTCACATTCGTGCTGTGGCTCTCACACTTAGCACAGGGCCCGGCTCACAGGTGGCGTCTAGGAAATAGGGGTCGACTGGAAGAAGGCAGCTCTCAGAGTCAGTAGGAGTTGCGGGGAGGGTGCAGCCCTCAGGAGCCTCCCAGTCCCTCCTGGGCCCCATGGCCCGGTTCACCCGACTCACCTCTGTCCTGTGTCTGCACAGTCGGCCTGGCCTGGCCTCTAGCTGCAGGCCTAGGCCTCTCACGGGTGGCCCGGCCCCTTTCTCCTCCCCTGGAGGGGCGCGGCCTGGCAGGCCCTCGGCTCCCAGCTCTCCCTGGTTGAGCTCATTGCATGTACTCTCCTGTCCCCCTGCCTCCCTCTGGTGGTTGTGACCGCGCTGTGCCTGGTCGGGGGCTACCCTGGGAGATTGCTAGGAGGGTGTGAAGCAGGATAGATAGCTCAGCACGAGGCTGGCTGGGCAGCTTAGTGAGTGCCAGCTACCGAGCCTCTGTCTCTCCCTTTCTCTCCCTGCCTATCCGACCCGCCTCCCAGAGCCTGTGCTGGTCAGATGCACACACATTCACTCTGCAGAAAGAAACACCACAGGCCTCTACCCGGAGTCCAGAGACCTGGGTTCAAATCCTGGAGGTATGACTCTGAGTTACCTCCCCTCTCTAAGCTTCCCTTGCCTTAACTATAACTCACAGGGTATGAAGGAAAGCTCTTGATAAACTGTAAAGCCCCAAGCATTTGTAACTTGAGAGTATTACTGTTTTCTTAGCTCCCCATGAGAGAATTTCTTCATTCCCAGGAGTGATGTTTAATGGTAGAATTTCCTGCTCTGTGTGGCAGGGTGCTGGTGAGAGTTCTGTGGGCAGGTGTGTGAGGGTTTGGGTCGCACAGGATGCACTGATTTGGTTACGCGTCAATATTTATTTTTGAATGTCCACAGTGATCTAAGCACTGGGGCACAGCAGGAAGCCCAAACCACAGAAAACAAAGCTATACTAGTCCCCTGCCCTTGGGAACCTTCCAGGCTGGGGTCAGGGGGGCTGCTGGAGAGACAGATCATCACAGTAGGAATGGGCAGGAAAACCTAGCGGGATACTCACAGCCACTTCTAATGAACTTAGAACTTTTTTGAACTTAAAACCGTCTTGCCCTCTCTTCCTGCTACCAAAGTCCCCAGGGCCTTCCCGCTTTACCTGTCCAGCTCCTGTGTCTTTTCGTCTCACTACAATGTCACACTCTTTTGGGAAGTCACCCCAGTCTGGATTAGAAGCTCCTGGCCTTGCCTTCTTAGCTCCAAACTTTTACACTTTATGGTATAATAAAATGTATAGATTTGGTCTTTATCCCTGGTTCCTGGCACAGAGCTTCTAAAAAAATCCTTGTAATCTGCTGAGTGATAAGACTGTCTTTTTTGTCTGTGGCTGGGGGCCCACACATAGCTTCGAGATGGGGGCTTGTTGCCAGGAAGACCAAGCCTTAATTCGAGGGTTGGAACTTTCAGTTCTCCCCCCCTCCCCCTCCCCCAGCCTCCGGGGAAGGAGAGATGCTGGAGATTGAGTTAATCACCAATGGTCAATGATTTAATCAATTATACCTACATAATGAAGCCTCGATAAAAATCCCTAAACAGTGGGGTTTGGGGAGCTTCTGAGTTAGTGAACACATAGAGGTGCTGGGAGGGTGGCCTCCCAGCCATATCTTGTCCTATGCATCCCTCCCAATGGCTGTTCCTGAGGTGTGTCCTTTCTAATAAACGGGCAAATGCAAGTAAAGTGCTTCCCTGACTTCTTTGAGTCATTCTGGCAAATTATTGAAGCGGGGGCGGGGGTTATGGGAACCCCTGAATTTATAGCTGGTAGGTCAGAAGTACTGAGATTTGCAATTGTTGTCTGAAGTTGGGGGAGTCTTGTAGGACTGAGCCCTAAACCTGTGGGGATCTGCGCTAACTCCAAGACTTAGTGTCAGAATTGAATGTGGGACATCCAGTGTTGGGGAATCAGAGAATTGCTTGTTGCTGGAGTGGGAAGACTACACGTTTGGTGTCACAAGTGGTGGTAGAAAGAGACAACACACCCTTGGTATGCCCACAACAGTGGTGGCTATTTTTTTCTTTAATTATTGGTTTTTGTCTAAATCACCGGTGAAAGCAAGAACTGTGTTGTTCTTGGTCACCAATGTGGTCCCAGCCCCAGCCTAGGGCCTGGCCCGGGGTAGGCGCTCAGCAAGTATTTGGTGGATGAATGAATAAACAAAGGTTGGCAGGAGCCATCAGGATTCTCTATCCCAAGGGCGTGGCCATGCTTGGGGAAGGACTGTGGAATTTTGGCGCTTTTTTTTTTTTATTTTGTATTGACTCTTTTCTGCTTGAATTTTTTTCCTTTATTTATTTACTGTTTTAATTGAAGTATAGTTGTTTTACAATGTTGTGTTAGTTTCAGGTTACAGCAAAGTGATTCAGTTATACATATATATGTGTGTGTGTGTGTATATATATATAAATCTATTCTTTTTCAGATTCTTTTCCGTTATAGATTATTAAAAATATTGAATATAGTTCCCTGTGCTATACAGTAAACACTTGTTGGTTATCTGTTTCATATATAGTAGTGTGTTTATGTTAATCCCATACTCCTAATTTATCCCTCCCCCTCTTTCCCCTTTGGTAACCATAAGTTTGTCTTCTATGTGTGTGAGTCTATTTCTGTTTTGTAAATAAGTTCATTTATATCATTTTTTTTTTTTTAGTTTCCACATATAAGTGATATCATATGATATTTGTCTTTCTCTTTCTGACTGACTTCACTTAGTATGATAATCTCTAGGTCCATCCATGTTGCTGCAAATGGCATTATTTCATTACTTTTTAAGGCTGAGTAATATTCCATTGTATATATGTACCACACCCTCTTTATCCACTCATCTGTCAAGGGACATGTAGGTTGCTTCCATGTCTTGGCTATTGTAAATAGTGCTGCTGTGAACACTGGAGTGCATGTATCTTTTCAAATTACAGTTTTCTCCGGATATATGCCCAGGAGTGGGATTGCGGGATCATATGGTAACTCTGTTTTTAGTTTTTTAAGGAACCTCCAGACTGTTCTCCATGTGGCTGCACCAATTTACATTCCCACCAACAGTGTAAGAAGGTTCCTTTTTCTCCACACCCTCTCCAGCGTTTATTATTTGTAGTCTTTTTGATGATGGCCATTCTGACTAGCATGAGGTGGTACCTCATTGTGGTTTTGGTTTGCATTTCCTTAATAATTAGCAATGTCAAGCATGTTTTCCAGTGCCTGTTGGCCATCTGTATCCCTTCTTTGGAGAAATGTGTATTTAGGTCTTCTGCCTACATTTTGATTGGGTTGTTTGTTTTTTCGATATTGAGTTGTATGAGCTCTTTGTTTATTTTGGAAATTAATCCCTTGTTGGTTGCATTGTTTGCAAATATTTTCTCCCATTCCATAGGTTGTCCTTCAGTTTTGTTTATGGTCTCCTTTGCTGTGCAAAAGCTTTAAGTTTAATTAGGTCCTATTTGTTTATGACACTTTTTTAAAAGGTGAGGGTTGGTGTGTATGTGTGTGTGTGCACATGCACATGTCCACCCTATTTGTACTTACTTGCATGCCCCGACCTGAGATCCAGTCCTCTAATCTCAAAGCTGGATTCCTCTGGGACTAAAAAAGCTGTATACCCAGCTACGTTTCCAAAGTGATCCTGACCTTTCTGCTGCCTCTCCTGGTCCTTCCTGATGGCTCCTGCCATCTTGTGCCCTTCAGGAACTCAAGCTGTTAATATCCCAGCAGCTTAAAAGGCTCCCCTCACATGTTTCTTCAGTGAAAGAATTGCTTTGTAATGTGAACGATTTTCCTCTCTCCCCATGTTTCTGCTCTAAAATTTGGCTTGTCTTATTCATGCTTAGCATTAGTATTTGTACACCCCTAGCCATCATTCCCTGGACAGATATTTTTGGAGTATCTGCAGTGGATTGGGCACTGCTTTGAGTGGGACCCAGAGGGGAACCTG